ACCAACACAAGAAAGCGATGATGACCAAAAGGATGAAGTTATGACCCCGACAGTGTTGGAATCACCCCTTGGAAAGGATGCAGCAATCCACCAGCCACAGCAAGACAAGCCCGCTACACTTCCAGCAGCAGGAAAACACAGTGTTGTACTGAAGGAATATCTCAAGCAAGTCAAGGCAAGCAAGCGAGCCAAGGCAAGCAAGGGAGTCAAGGCAAGCAAGCATAGCCCCAAAGGTGATGCACCAACAACGGAAGAATCGGCACTTGAAACTTTCACAGCGTCTTTGCCCCCGAAGCCTGATGATTGGGGGACCTTTGGCCAAGTTAGTGCTGATCAACAAGAACCACCGAAGCCCCGGGGCCGCAAAAAGAAGAATGCAGAACAAGGAGAGGATTGCAAAGCAAGCAAGCCCAAATCCAAAGCAAGAGCAAAGGCAGCAGCTAAGGGCAAGCCAGGAGCAAAGGCAGCAGCTAAGGGCAAGCCTAGGGCTAGGAGGAGCAAAACCGAGACTGCTGAGACTTATGAACCCATCCCACTTGAAGAGGATCCCAGGTTTAACAAGGGTGCAGCCTTTGATGCCTATGCTGCAGCGTCTGCTGCTTTAGATGTTCATGTTTTGGGAAAAGAGGAAAGCAACAAGGAGAACCATGGCAAACGAAAGGGTCGCAGTGGAGACTCCAACGGCAAGGCAAAGAAGTCACGTCAGGGCAAGGGTGCAGGTTTGGGCAGCAATGATGATAGCAAAAGAAAGAGTGCAGGAGAAACAAAGGAGACAAGCAAGCGTACCAAGAAGTGCGCACGAGGATCGGAGAGCATCGTTGCAGCCAGCGATGAGGCGAACACCCCTCCCGAGACCTCACCCACCACCAAGGCAGCAAAGAGGGCACCGAGAATCCTTTCAGCAGAAGTCAAAGCTAGGTACAGTCGCAAGAGCTGCGCCTACAAAAAGGTATTGAAACAGAAGATGAGCGAAGGCATGGATGAGGAGAAGGCAAAGGAAGCAGCCCGTAAGGTTCCCCAACATTTTTCATTGAAATTGTTTTGATAGATTCTGTTATTTGATGTGCAGTGAATGAAAAAATACCCCATGAAACTGATCTTGTTATCCATTATGTATTGCAATTGCCGAGGCTTATGCGGATTGCGATTGATCTGGCCACGGGGTTCTCTGAAGATCTCTTCGCTGTGCGTGTGGCAGCAATTCAAAGCTTAGGTCTATGATCGGACTAGTGCTGGTCAAACAAGAATGTGTAATACCAAAATCTTGCAAACATGTCTTCCAAACATATAAAGCTTAAGATTTGGTTTCAGAGCCATTGCAGAGCCCAGCAGGTTTGCCCAGGGGTCCGTCTGTGCGTTTTTCAATGCACCAATAACATGTGCATGCGCGGACAAGTCTTGGCAGCACTTTGAGCTGCCATGTTTTCGGATTGACAAGTCAAAATTGCCAATTTCATTTTATGGTTCCATTTAGGGTGCAGCAGGCAATTGTGAAATCACGATTGCTGCTTTGGCTGGGAGGGGAGCGATGCCGTGATCGGATCAACCATTAAAGCGAACAAAAAAGAAGTAAACTGAGCACTGCAAGTTTTTGATTCCGTTTACTTACAAAGCATACCACTGGCACGTGTCTTCAGTGATACTGGGTCTTTTTGAGAAACACATTGGGTCACATGATATGTCAGCCCCGATGCAGGTGCCATGGAGCGATGGGTGCAAAGATCTGCTTCGAAAGGTCTTACCTGCGAGTTTCTACTGATCAGTTGATGGGGTGTTGGGTTTCTGTTTATATTGATTTATCTGGGTTCATGCAGCACGCTGTGGGCTCAGCAAGTTTCCTCCCTGTCTCCCTGTATCCCTGTCATGGCTTTTGGTCGCCATGATTCGATAGTAGCCAATTTAGCCCAAACACGTTGTCCAAAGGCAGGGACCCTGTGATGCAATATAGACTACAAATGGATGCAACATGTGGAACACATATGGGGATGTCTCAAAATGAGGTGTCCGTTTTTCCCCTTAAAGTAGCCATTTTGGAACCAATAACGGACACCTCATTTTGAGACATATCCATCTGTGTATGTTTCAACCGTCCTTCGGTAGGCATTTATTGCCTGCGTGTTGCTGGTGCTGTGGAGTACGGATGCATCTCCGAGATTCCATCTGGTCGAGTTATTCTCTGGAGCAGGGAATGTTGGGGCAGTATGGAGGCATCCAATTGCTGTCAACTTGTTGCAGTAGTCTAGTCACGTTCTGTGCTGGTCATGTACACGATATTTAAGTGTGTGACTCGTGTGCCCCAGGGAAAAAGGAATGAATGTGGGCCAATACGATTGGGACTATGCTGAAAGAGGGATGGATTTCCTTTCCCATGGTGGATACGCGTCTGTTTCTTAGAAACTGTCCATGAACACTTCAGTATCCCATTGCTTAAGGTGCATCCTACAGATTATATGTTATATAACTATTATATTGTAGTTGCCCAGGACAGCCATCTATTTGGTCCTCTGTCTCATTCCCTTTGGCCTCCTTCTCCTTGGACCAGACTGCAGCAGTTGGACGGTAATCTCGAGGGGAAGCTCCTGGAGAACACCCATGAACCCCTGGGGTCGGATGTCACTGTCATGGGTTCAAGGAGCCAATCTCATGATTTCACGGTTCTTTGATTGCAGTCCTTTACAATTGACAAGTTGAATCGAGTAGATTTTTGTTAGAGTTTGCTTGCGCTACTCAAACTAAGGTGCATACTTTTACTCCATCTATGTTTAGCACTGTCTTGCATCTATGTGATGGAGCAACCCAGGGGGAGTAATGATGTTCTGCCTCGCCACCGCCGGTTCGAAGAATTTTCAAACCTTGTATCCTTTGTAACATGGCTTCTGGGAATGTGGAGGCTAGGTCGGTTTGACCCGAGAGTATGTCTAGATAGGCACCTGCCCCTCTTGAATCACTAAGGTATTCAAAGGATTTTTCTGGATGATGCACCATGGTGGACAAACACCAAAGCCAACCGCTTGCTGGTCCAATTGTCAAGAAATTCTCATCAGTTTGGACATGACCTCAGAATTCCATGGGCACTTGAAATGGGTTTTAATTTATGACCAATGTTTCATCTTATCTTTTGCAGGGGTGGCTTCTAGTCAAAGCCCCTTAAGGACCACGGTGTGTTGCCCCGCTCCGTCCAGCAAAGCTGCACCATTGCTACTACTCGCAGGTGCCTCAGCTGGGCTCTTGATGCCATTCCCCATTGACTGAGTGCTTCACGGACTATCTATATTTTTAATTAATATAGAAAAACTCTTATTGATCTTAGTCCTTTCCTGTGGGGATCCTCTGGTCAAGGCAAGTACGAATGCAAGAAGGATGGCAAGATGAAGTTTCAAGGGACTCCAGCTTTACGTGCGACACAGCTGGGGCCCAAATTTCTCAAGTTGTCGAAGTGGTAGGATTCTGCAAATGTCAGCTGCTACATAGTTGGGTGCCCAAAATTGATTTTATAACGATGGTTTGTCCAATATATACTTCCAAAAACATTTAAAAAACACCTTAAAACCATCAAAAAGGAACCCCCCCCTCCCCCCCCCCCGGGGGGGGGGGTTCCTTTTTGAGAAAATTTTAGCAAAGAATAGCCACTGGCCACTGGCTTAGTATGAACCAACTTACAACTAAGAGCCCCACTATAGGGTATCCCTCTTCTACCCTGCCCCTGCTGCTGTGGCCAAGGCAATATCCGAGAGGCCTGGGAGAATGTCTCTTCACATCCTGGCAATCAGTCCAAGGGCTACCCAGGTTGGATTTCAGGCAGAAGCAGGGCCTAGACCCAAGGATGACAGACCTTGAAATTTTTGAATCTCTACCCATGACAGACCCTTTGACAGATGCCAAGATCCCCAGTTTGTTCTTGTACCTTTACGCCAACAAGAACTTGGTCGTACCGAATGAATGGAGATCAACCATGGATGCAACGCGTTCGGAAATGCAAAAATATGTTGCTAGGCTCCATGTTGTGGACTGGAAGTTGCAATCTGTCCCAAAGAGTGATATGTATCAAATTGTTTGCCTAGGTTCTGACTGAATCCGATTTGACTGGCTGATGATGGCTGGTAGCTCAATTCAACCTTTGCCCTTTATGGGCAATTAGCTTTGCACTTCTACTAGGAGGCTTGCTGGCTCACAAGGGGGAAAACAGAACATGTTTACCCCAAAACAGTGAAAACAGAACAATTTTACCCCAAATATGTAAATTCTGCAGAAAATATCGAATTTTTATGCTTTTTTTGCAAAAAGATCGCGCCTACAAAAACCTTCAAAACGACCTCAAAATCCTTCAAAACGACCACAAATACCTTCAAACGCCTACAAATCCCAAAAAGTAGGTCACTTGCATTTTTGAGGAATCAGAAAAAAATCGTGAAAATGCGAGCTTTTCAGCATAGCCTTTGCAAAAATTCGTGGTTCGGAACATGCATGATTTTCATGCTCCACCTTAGCAGTATGTGTCACACTCCTGTCCTAGCCGAAAACCTGAGCGGGGAACCTGAGCTGAGATCAATTCAATATATTTTGATGGCTTGTCCATTGAAATCCAAGATTGGGAAACCATTCACATGTAGGTGACCAACGAAGCTGTGCTCAAACACGTGCCCTTGCAGGTCCCTGCCTGAGCCATGTCAGGCAACGACCAACCCAGGCCATGCCCTTCTTTTGAAGCAGGTTTGGATGCCTTGCGAAACCAAGCAGCGGCAAACCCAGCTCCAGATGGATTAGATGACATGATTAGAGTACCGTGACTGCATGCACAGAAAACTCAGCATGTTTCCAAGGTACATTTACGAGGGCTGTCTTGGTGCCTAGCATTTTGTTTTCAATTCCAGTTTCTCCTCAATAGTGCCTTAAAATCGAATTAAACCACCTCCCTGATGGGAGAGGGGTGGTTGTTGAATTCATATTGTGAAGGTTCCAGTTAGTTCCACTTCCTGTCCCTCAACCGGTTGGCTGAGGCAATGACTGCCAGACTTTCGGTTCTTCAAGGCCAACTTGGTCACCTGACAGGCGTTGATGAACGCTCTCAAGCAGGAGGTGGGGGCCCAGACCGGCCAACCCAACATGGGTCCTAGTTTACATTGAATAGGGAATATATAGGGAATATGAATACCCCTAGCTCCTTAGCTCCCTCCTAACCACTGGATAGTATTTACCACTATTGCCAAAGTCATCCACAAAGGGTCATGGTCCATTTGGTTCCAGGAACTGGCTTTGTTGAAGCCCGTGCTGCTGGAGGATTTATGCCTGGGTTTGGAAGACAGGTGGGTGGGGTGCAGGTGACTCCAAGCAGGGATGGGCCTGTAGCAGCTGAGCCAAAGACACCAGCAACAGCAGGATCACCACCAGTTACCCCAGCTTCTCAAATCATTCCCAGCTTCAGCAACATGAGCCTAGAAGAAGCAGAGACAAAAGAGGATGACAAAAAAACATTGAACTACCTACTACGTGCTCCAACCCTTCGCCTTGATGACACGCATGTCGACCCAACTCAGAAGGACAATGACACAGAAGCAGCTACGCAGAAAGACATGGCTGATGTTCAATCTGTCAACTCGACCCCATACCAACCTGACAATCAACTTGGTTTGTCAGACGCTGAAAGTCCATGGCCAAAAGACTCAGAATGCCCTGAACCTCCACCTGACAAAACCAAAATCTCTGTGCCTCCTTCCCTGTCCCTGGCAGCAAGCCCCAGTGTGGCTGCTTCCCCAGCAGCAAGCCCGAGCAGCAACGCAGCTGATTCCAGCATGGGGGATGGGGCCACACAGCTGCAAAGCCAAGGGAGTGGGGGAGAGACACAGCTGCAAAGCCAAGGGAGTGGGGGAGGGACACAGCTGCAAAGCCAAGGGAGTGGGGGAGGGACACAGCTGCAAAGCCAAGGGAGTGGGGGAGGGAGCGCAAAGAAGAATAAGTACAGTGATGGCACGTACTGGAAGCTTCTAGAAAGCATTTAAAAACAATATATATGCATATTTGATCATATTTGCTGGCATATCTTGTGATCACCTGTTCCCTTTCTCGTTGTGATCTCAAGCAACAGCACCCACTTAGGCTTCGAAACTATGTCCGACCAAATTCCCGGGGAGAAGTAAAGGCCAGCCAGAATGTTCTTAAGCTATACAAAACTGACAAGGGCCGAATCTCGGCACCATTGTGCATTTGTGCATTGGGCACCTACAAGATCCACGGGTATGTATTGTAGACAACACATCTACTATATGCAAAATAAAAAGTCGAAACTAAGGAGAAGAACTTCGTCAGTTGCTGGTGGCCCATGGGACGTTTGACAGTGTGGAAACGCATTTGGAGAATGTTCATGTTGAAGAACAGACCGATAACTTGAGGGGTGGCTGGCATACTGAAGCTTCCCTTTTAAAAGAGGGGTGGACAACGCGCCCAAGTCGCATTGCAGTGTGTGATTTTCAGGTGTCTTAAAACCACTATTTATATCACTGGCCCTTTCAACCCTTCAGTCAGCTTTGTTGACTGAGGGAAATGATCCAGCATAGCAAGAAGTGGGCGACCGCAAGGAACTTGGTCGAGAAGAGTGAGGTGCATGGTGAAGATGAATGGCGGGTTCCGGTGATGAGGGAATTTGAGAACAAGAAACTGGATCGGCAAACGTGTGCTCAACGAGTTGGATTTGTCACCCAGGACCATGGATGATTTATATTAGATTGCAAAGTAGCAGCTTTCCTTCACACACCATTCCCTTGAATTCATGTCAGTTTGAAGGACGACACAGGTGAGTTCATGGAGTCAACTACTAATCGAGATGCCTTGATGCAACTCGAATGGATAGAATTGAATCCAGCATATACAACAATTTCATTTGAACCAGTGCCTATCAAAATAACTCACACTTAGGCGTGGGACAGGAGAAGTCAGTGTTCTCCAACAACAAAGTGTCAACGCGGCAGCATCGGCAAATTCGAAGCTGCAAACTTTGCCAGTGTTACAAGCAAATCAATGCCCTTTTGGTTTCTCTATTGCAAACAGTGCTTTCTTTAGACATCCAAATGCAACAGCTATAGCCAACAGACTATATATAGTAGGCCCGCTTCAGGCCTGTTGCCCAGTTTCATTGAAGGGATGGCCAAGAAAATTTCGAAAGCGGAAGAGATTGAGGAGCCTTGCTACGCTTCTTCATCATGCCCCCATGGCTCTTCCATTTTATACTGATAAAACCTGATGATTTCCCTTGAGTGGTTTTCCATCTTTGTGGTATAGGTGGAACCCAGATTCCAAAACAAATCTATCACACGCGCATTCTTAACTCTCAGCTACTTGGGACTGGGTCGCCCTGGAAGGAGAACCTACGACTGATGAACATTGAGCGTGGAACGAAGCCTGGGCCCTTGGTCAATCAACCATATGTCAATATTATATAGCATTCTTTGCTCTGTGAGGCTGGCTGACGAGATCAAGGATAAGATCGTAACAATGGATACCAAGTACCAGGAGCTGGTGTCCCAACAGCAGACCCTGATGACCACTGATAACCCAAGCAGGCCTGGTACTGTCATGCGTCAACGCCCATCATCTTTCACCTGTTGGGCAGCAGTGGGCAAACTGTCTTAGCAGGAACTCAAAAGATGACCTGGCCAAGCTCTACATCCAGTGCACTCAAGCGGATGTGTTGATGAACAACTTGCTGTCTCGGGCAAGGACTGGTGTTAACTTCTTGGTCAAGAAATGTTCATGCTTGCACCATGTTTTATTACCTGCTTGCTTGCCTTGCCTCTTCCCATTTAACATGGTGGAAGGAACGTGAAAGTACCAAAAGCAAAAGCCAAGGAGTCAGCGAAACCGGCCAGAGAATCTTTGAAGACCAAAAAACACAAAGCAAAAGCGACTCATGGAAACGACGAAACAGATACTACTGTGACTACTGCTGTTGAAACCAAGAAGAAACGAAAGGCTAGCACTGCAAAGGGATCTGGAGCGGCCATGGCTTCCAAAAGGAAGCGCCGCCGGTGAATTTTGAAAATTTTCCAATCAGTGGTGCTCACGGAGAGAGATATATTTAAAAATCTATGTCATCTTTAGCAATTGCTGTTGTTTATTCGAACATACGTGAGCTTATGAACATCTGCTGGCCACTGGTGTGTGGCCCCAATCCGGGATGGCCTCTGTCGAGGTCGCACAGGAGTTGAGCCTGGCATGGGGAAAACAATAGCTGGTTCGAATGATCTTAAAGTCAGGGGTGCCCCCTTAAAAAAACGAATATTTTGTGGCCCCTGGGGTTTAAGGGCAGTGCGCCTTCAAGTTTGCAATGCAGTCGCATATGATAAACAATAATTGGACCTATCGGTGTGTGCAACTTGCAAACATGCCACATGATGTTGCAAGCCAGGTGGCTGGCAACCTTCGAGAAAAACCGGGATCGCTGGTAAGTTCCTCAGCCTTTCGGCCTACACTTAAGAATTGGGTTTGCCAACCTTACCCCTGCTTAGGATCAACTCGTCCTGGAGCTGAAGATGACATGTCAGATTCGTCCGTTGACTCGGCATTGGCTGGGGAATTGTTCCATGACTACATGACAGGAGTCCCTTGAAAATTCATGGTCAAGTTTTCGTATGACCCTTTCTCACAATTCAATGGGGTAAAGTTATTTGGTGAATCCCAAGTATACTCCCTTAAAGAAATCCTACCGGTGCCGCTGCCACTGCACAGGCAGAATCTGCAAAGAGAGCTACAAAGCTGGCAAAGATGATTTGCCGCGTTCGCAAAAAAGGATCCCTGGCTACTTATCTTCAGCCCATGTTGCAAAAGGGTACCCATGTGCCATTTCTTTAGCGGGCCCACTTACTGTTTATTTTTAACATGATCAATGGATAAAACCCACAAGGAAAAAAGCAGATTTGCTGTGGAAGATTTCCCGTGCTGGACAATCTAAAACGAATGCTTGTAGAAACTTGCACAAGTTGATTGACTCCAACAACGTGCTTTTCCCGGTCCCCATTGATTGTGAGCTTATTCGGGTGGCATTCAGAAAGCCGGAGTATCGAACTGAAAAAGTGTACTGGCCCCTGTTGCGGATGTCAGCCTGGGTGAGATCTCTCATAGAGCATTCGCCAAAGATGTTGCTAGCTGGGCATGACCTGGCCGATGCTTCTGGATGGCAACAAGCATTTCAACGATTCTGGCAGCTATATAGGCATACAAATGGAGAACATTGTCTTTTCCAGGATCAATTCGACACCCAGTTTTGCATCCCTTATTTCCTTCATGGCGACGAAGGTAGGGGTTATTGTCGTAGGCCCTTTATGGTGGAGAGCTGGCAGCCATGTATTGGTCCCAAAGGTTTGTCTTTTACAAATGAAAGTGGGTATCTTGATCATGTTTTCAACAACATTTTTTCTGGGCAATACTTGATGTTTAAAATACATACAAGGTGGTGCCCCCAAGTTATAAGTTGGTTTACAATTCCATTAACTATAGATATATCTACCATAAGTCCTAGTTATTAGAGTTATAAACCAACTTAGCTATCTTGGGGGCACCACCTTGTAGATGCGTTGTTTCATTTGCAAAGCCGCCTTCTAAATCTGAGGCACAGCCTGACCACAAGGTTCTTGCTGACTTGTATCTCTTCCTATTTCTTCGATGGGGAGAACACCCTACACGACCTGCATGAAGTGATGGCTGCAGATGCAAAATTCCTGTACGAAAAAGGAATCACAGCCCCTCTGAAGAATGATTTGTTACTAATTTTTATTCTCTGGCCCCTGCATTTTCAAGGGTCATTATGGGCATGCTTGACCCTCAACCAGAAAAAAAACTGTTCACCCTGTTTGTTTCATCGCGTGCCTCCACCCGAGGTTGGTTCAGTCCACCTGCGGCTCGTATGCGTGGGAACGAAAGGAGATTGGGTATTCTTGCGCAAAGATGCTTGTTGAAAGTTCAATCACATTGTTGTTAATCCATGTTAATCCCACAAGTGACATTTTGTTCCCCATGACCATCAACACCATATCCAAATGAGGTATTAACTGATCCGTTATTTTGTTTTGAATGTTGCCTAATGGCAATCTCAGGCATTTCACCTCAATTGCGGATTCAATTGTCTTCAGAAATGCCATCTCTGTGATGGTGTCAACTGGGAGGACATGTCACTGGAAGCCCCATGGCGGGACACGATGGGACTGAGAAGAAGCACATCCCCTTCTTGGTGCCAAGAAGGGGACATCCCCTTGCTCCAAATACCAGGCATGGGGCAAAATGCGATATTGCCCGATTCGTGCCATGTTTTTCACCTAGGATGGGGGGTGGACCTGGCGGCCAGTGGCTTGGCACTCATGGCCAGACGTGGGTGCTTTGACGGTCGATCCTTTGACAACCGGTTGCATGATGCCTACAAGAGATTCACACGGTGGTGCTATGAGAACAATAAAACTACTGGTATCAGTGGGTGGTCTACCAGAAAACTTGACATGAAATCGTCCCTGTAATGCAGTTAACAAGCATTGTTTGTTGTTATACGAATAAACATTAGGGGGGCGTGTATCCCGGAAATAAAGCCAGCTATTCAATTGTCGTTGCCTCCCTGCCACTGCCCAGGCAAAATGACTGGCCCACCTCGCTTGGGTCTTGCAACTCCAAAGCGTATGATACGGCCTTGGTGCTGCAGTGGATGGAATGCTGTTTGGACAACATTGACCCTTGGGTCACTGAAACAAAAAGGTTTGACTATATAATTTAGTATTCTTGGACTTGATGGCCCTTTGAAAGTGATTATCAGGGATTATTGATTGCATCATATATGTATAGTTATCGGAATGACCATAAAGTGGAATCGATATCATTTTTTAAAAATGATGGCAGTTGCAGCTTATGATATGTTATACATACGATGGTGTTTAAACAAATGGTGGTGCTACCAACAAAATGCCCATAATTTTCTTTTGGTGAGTTGTTGGGGTCCCTAAACTGTTCTGGGCTGATTGGGATGATTGTGGTTCAGGATTGCTCCGAAGATGACTTCTTGAAGGGGTTGAAGTATGCAGTGGCAACCAGCAACATGTTCTTCAAAACTTTGCGCTCATGCGGTGTGTTCATTGCAGAACCCAAGAAATCGGTAGTCTATTTTGTGGGTCAGGCGATGTGCGTATCTTTGTCTATTTTAGTTCTGGGATTCCATGTGTGGTATATTCCACTAATTAGTTTTGGTTAACCCAACCTCCTCTATAGAGTCTTATCTACCACACATGGATGATGGGGTCTTAAGTTTTACTTTCCCAAAAAGGAAATACAGTTACAGTTAAAGCCCCTGGCTGGTTTTAAAATTGGGTCATATTGGGTTCATCATTGTATAAATAATGGTATTTCACCTGACCTATACATTGTAAAGGGCCATAGCCATAACTGTATAAAGGTAGCCCTCAATCAAGATTTTTTGGCAAACACACTTTTGTAAGGAGGCATATGGGCACTTGGCATCCAAGTGCTTTGCCAACAACCTCAAACTGTTCCGGCTTCGACCAAAAGTTCATTTCCAACAGCACTTGACTTTGTTGATGGGCCCCACGTCAGCTCCAGTTGCCTTTTCGGCACTCAGTTACTAGGTGCTATTGATCATTCCTTTCCCCTTTTGATTTTATACTTGATATCATATGGCTACTAGATTCTAATTTTGAATGACCAACCAACAGCTAAGATTTCAGCTGCTGGGCTGACGAGGATTACATTGGACGTATATCACGATTATCAAGATCGGTGCATCCATTGAGGTCATCTTATAGATGTATTCAGAAGGCCTTGGGCCTTTACAAATGCCAGTTCTTAAATTGGAAACCTGCCAGTGACTGAATTTTGTCCTGGGTAGCCGGGCCACCATTCTCACAAGTGTGTCCGTCGAGTGCACGGTGGCAGCGCAGGGGATTGGGATGTGAGATTGGGAAAAATGGGGTGTGAGCGAGGGTTCTCGCCCAACTTTCAGATGAAACGACCAAAACGCCTTGTTTTAGAGAAATCGCCCAGAAAAAGTAGGTCACTTGGGGTCGACTAAAAATTCTTTTACTTTTGAAGATCTAGGTATAATTATATATATAATACACATCATGAATCTCCATGGTTCCCATCTATATATGTTTTCGCTATCCCAAGGAATCTCCCAGAACGAACCCCCCCCGTTCGGTTCGGAAAAACGGCCTCGCGGCTGCAGGAGGAGACGGGTAAATCATATGGCGTCTGATGCTCCATGGCCCTGGCTGTATCGCTGGATGATGTTTTTGGAGGTAGCCCCAATGACTTAGGAAAGCTCCATTAGTGGGTTAACTAGGGTTTATATATAGGTGGTATGAATCTATAGTGAAAATAGATGAAAATAGACATGTGTGGTATTAATCTATAGTGAAAATAGACATGAATCATCATTGTCCAATGGATTTAGAGGTACCCCCCGAATTTTAGGACACCCCCATTAATATGTGTAAAACATGGTGTAACCAGCAAATGTGCCATGAATAGCAAATCTGGGATTCACGTGTTGGTCGAACTCACTTATGTGCTTGGTTGAAAACAAGGAGATTGCTCCCTTGCTTTATCTTACTTTAAATTGTCTCTTCTGAAGTGCAATTTGAACTGCTTCTCCGACGAACTGAATGATTCAACTAGCAATGTAAATAATTGTCCAAAGAATCCTACCGGTCCTACCAATCCTGATTGCAGCTCACCCATTCACTTCCGGGCCGTTCTTCTACTGTATAGATGTATTCTAAAACGAAATCATCCATGCAAATGAGTCCAGAAGACTCAAGACAAAATGGATGAGCTGCTTCAAAGTTGATTTTACCACCTACTTGGATTTCGCTCTGGGTATCCATTTTTAATGTCCGATACTCAAACATGGCAATGGACAATGCCCTGTTTAAGGAAAAGATGTTTCCGTGAAACCCTCCATTTCTACAGGATCTTCCCAGCTCGCCATATTTGATTACAGAAGGGTAGCTAGTTTTTCACTGCAACAGTCTGTTCCCAAACTGCAGCCGGAGCTTTCCCAATTGACTAGCCGAAGCACGTGTTCCGACGCTCAAAGCTCGGTCGCCATTAGAATCTCTCAGGGTTTCCTGAAAGCTGTGCCGATTTTCTTGTTCAAAGATGGCTGCAACATGTCCAAATGTCCAACTCAACCAGTGGACATGCCAAATGTCCATCTCGACTCTGGACATTGCCAAGGGGTGGCTTCCGAGGATTCGGTGTCGATAGTCTTCCTGAGGCCCGTGGAGATATGGAATTCCCCTGTGGTCTGGGTCTTTCTATCTTTCTATAGCCCACTATTTGTAGATTGCCATCAGGTAGGGAAAGGACAAATCTTTGAAGTCCACTCGTTCACTCGTTCGAGCCAATCGCCGGCAGCCACAAACACAGAACTGTGCCTATGAAGGACACATACACCTGGGACATACTTCGAACAGCTTTGTGAATCTCTGTTTTCGTGTTTTCGCCCAAACAACATCGTTATTCCAGGATGTTTATCAAAATTATACATGCTAACTACATGAAAACTGATAATTTGTAACCTTGTGTTGCAACGTGACAAACACACCTGATGCTCCATTTGTGGTGGTTTTACCTGTGAAAAATATGAGCGCGTCAATCGGGATCATTAATCCTGGACATGTAGAGATGAACAAGATTTTGTGACAACCACCAACACCTTTTTAGTGGCTCATATCATTTCATATCCATTTAATTCCATTTATATCATTTACATTCCCAAATGGGTGCTTAATAAACTCTCTGTTTATGATAAATTATGGCTCTGAACTATCAAAAATTGAAACCAACAAAGAATCACCCAGCCCGCTCCAATGCTACCTGGGAAACCGCATCGCTCTATTTCTCTTTGCTCCGCGACAAAGGTCACAGGCAGATTGACTGAACCTGATTGGCCGCGGCGATCAGTGGCACTGGCGCAGTTGATGAAGAGCGTTTTGGGCTCTTGAAGCGAACCATAGCCTTAGAGCACCAGCGCGTATGCCGTGTGCGTTTGGGTCAAACCATTGTGTATAGCTTATGGATGTTTATGGTCTCATATTTCAAATCACAACGGGAAAAAAAACAATGCATTGATGACCATGGCACCCTATGGGCTTGGACTACTGATGGCCATCTCAGGTATCCGAGATACCAAGATTTTTGGGAGCTCATGGATTCAGAGGCAGAAAAATATCAGGATCTCTGGTTTAAGAAGTCATCGATATAATATATATATATATATATATCAATATTGATTACTTTTAACATCATCATTTACTGGTTGGTGGTTTTAACCATCTTGAAAAAATATTAGTCAATGGGAAGGATTATCCCATATATTATGGAAAATAATATATGTTCCAAACCACCAACCAGATTATGTATAGATATCTGATGAGAAGTAATGTCTGATGATGTAAGATCATTTTTGCATGATTTGCATTCCTTGACATTACATGCTCAGTCAGAATTTACCGGAACTGATGTTGCAAAAATGACTAGGGCATCCAGGACCACCAAGCCACAAAAGGGCAAGCTTTGATCAACTATCAGAAACCTAACAGTTTTCATCAACCATCAATTGAGTTTGCAAATTTCATCGACCATTAGTTATCACAGGCCTAAGATGTACTTCTGTAATTCTCAAACTCTCACTTTTGAGCCATATCCAGGATCCTTTCCATACAATGAACACCTATGTTTGTGGCTTAAAAACCTCCTGGTTGTCTAGTTCACTCCAAAATAGCTACTAGTCGGATGTCACACCAACATAGCCGGTCTTTGGAAATATGTGGGTCCAAACTCCGGCGGTTTATCATCCGACCGAGGCACCTGGATGCACATGTCCAAAGGCATGCACTGCTGGGGCGCGCCTCCCATACAGCACTTGGCGCAAGATTTCGCAGCCTAGGCGTTGGATGGCCACGGAAGTCAACCTTAGTGAATCGCCCCAGTTCCTAAGTGGCTTAACCCCAGTATACACCACGTATGAGTGTAGGATTGGTCCACTTATAGCTGGGGCTGGGGTGAACTAAGGCACTAACCGGGGTGAACCGCCAAGTGCGATAGCAACCAAAACCCATTGTTTCTGGACGTGTGCTTCTAGATTCCCTGGCGGGATTGAACATATTGAACTTGGGAATGGCTTTTAACCATGGTATACCATGGTTTTTCATGTTTGAATTAATTCATTCTTCAGAAATTGCCTGGCCGGACGGCTGGCTTTTGTGGTCATCCCATTACCATCCCATTCTCCCATTAGGACCATTAGGAGATGTGCCAGAGAATAGGAGCGATTCGAAACAAGCACATCTGTTTCTCATCAGGACATATCAACATGTAGATAGGTATGATAGTATGATAGGTAGCACAATGTAGCACATATTTCAATCTTGGACTACTTGAAAAAGCAAACACCCGGCAAAACTGTACACCCGAAAACAACACATCTGCCCAGCGCAGTGTCTCGCACCTATGTGTTTCTTGCGCTTCCCAGCATATTGGGTCTCATCCATGATCTGGTGTGGAGGAGTGTGTGTGATCAGCACATCAACATCCTTTGGAATCTTCTTCCACTCCTGGAAAAAAAACTGACTCAATGAGGTGGGCAAAATCAATTAAAATCAATTAAACAGATGGAAAGTGGATGAAAGTGGTCATTCTTGAGGTTCCACCTCACATTTCTGGTGGCAAACATGGGCAAAAGCGACCACTTCCAATATTCTGCTGTGATTTGGTTCAAGGAATGTGGGCAGGTCATCAACATGGCTTGCGACTCACATTTTTCGGAGGGAATCCCAGACTTGGCGAGCTCGCAAAAAACTCAGGGAACTTTTGGATATTGGATCCTCTTCCTATTCTTCCTGGGGATATTGGATGCTTAAGAAAGAGGGTATCCTGATGTATCCTGTAAATTGAACCCGTGCGGAAAAGACGCAGCTCCTCCTTCAATTCTTGACCGCCACGCCTGGCAATGACTGCAGCCGCAGGTGTGCAACAGGGGGCAACAACTGGGCGCAACAACTAAGATCAAAAGATGGGTCGGTATATCATATCTTGCTTATTTTAGACATGAAAAACCACCCAACTATATAATTCATTGACGGAGGGTTGTTACGATGTCATTACTGTATCCACCGCGAGGAAACAGTGCCCGGTTGTAGCTCAAAATAAAAGGTTGAAAATGGTCTGAAAAGTCAACAACAACAACAACAACCACCACAACTGTAGTCTTCTTTGAATTTGGTAGCTCGGACCATGTAAGTACCTGAAACGACTCCCAACACACGTTTGACAAAAATCAAGGCGTGTCACATTGTGTCACCCTCTCCATCCGCCGTTGAAAACCCTCCAACTTTTCAATCCTGCAACCCCCCAGTGATTTAAGAAAGCTACATTGCTAAATCTATGTTTCCAATATTTTCCAATATGCTAAATGTATGGTAGATTTACCGACGTTAACCCCCAACATGGCCGAGGCGCAGGCAAATATCATAAGTATACACTATACCATACATTTAAAAAATGGCTTGTCAAATCAACATCTTTGGCAGCTGCCCCTGAGGCTGGTGCATCCGTCCGAACGCCATTTCTGTCCTGGCGGAAACGGAAGTGAAGGAAATGGTGGTAGGATTGGGGGGGGGTCGATGTCACCAAAGTCCAGAACTCAAGAAGATGTTTCCATAAATGGATGGTTTATTTTCAGGAAAACCCATTAAAATGGATGATTTGGGGGTATCCCCACTTTAGGAAACCTCCATATGTTTATAATAATATACGTGTGTAATAGCCAGAACACAACAATGATAATCAAAATAGAATAACAATGATATGACAATGATTTAGAAATGATACAACCATGAAATAACAATGAAAGGCCAATGACATGACAAGATCAATTCATGGTATAATTTATAACCATTTCTAGTAATACTAGGGGAAAACACCTCCATATTTGCCCGCGCCTTCCGACCAAAGTCTTCTTGACATGTTGCCTTCAAATGTGTGCAATATCTCTCAAACAGCACTTACGTTTCCTGCGTTTCTTCTTGGGATAAGTGGGTTAATACCTATCTATATGTTAGACAATATATCTATCTTGTCATGGTGTCTATGTATATAATACTCTGTATATTCCAATTCAATAGTTTGACATGTCGATGGTAACATGCATTGTACATAACTTCAAACAGTCTTTACTCATACAGATTCCCGTTCCCTGCGCACCGACTGCTTGGCTGCGCAGGCTGTATGGGGCTGCCATAGAACTTCACTCCCGCAATGCTGCAACTGGTTCCATGTAAAACCTGGGAAGAGTATGGAAGAGTGACATGTTAAAATGGAAAGGAGTCCTTTTATTGAAACATTCAATTCATATCTATTCTATATTCTGTTGTACGACAAATCCAGTCGCTTTCTCTATCCCTGTACACTTGTAAATTGACCAGAGGCCCTATGAATTAAGCAGTATCTGGATTTGGCACACCATGTATCCTTGAAAGGAACCGGCCAACCCTGTCTATGCCGCAGATTCATTGACAGTAAAACCAGGCAATCGGCTGTCTCGCTGCCCTGAAACTCATGGTGCGGCGCACCTTGATATAATATCGTTTTGCTCTGTCGGTGTTTTCCCATTCAAAATGAGAAAATGAACATTTCGGTTGACGCGAGAAGCTCATCTTTTCGAGAGTTGACATAATTAGTAGTAATAAACCATAGTTTGTGAATGGATGCTTCAAAGAATGCACGGCATTCTTTCATTTTTGTCACACGAGTGTTTGTTTTCCACAAGCATCCAAAAATCAAAAAAAATATTTCTCCACCAAGCACTTTGCCTCGAAACCAGCTGCTTGAAGCATCCGATAGATCTCGCTGGAAGACTGGCGTTCACTATGCCATTCCTGCGTCGCACTCGTCAAGGCCAGGAGAAACACCCGAGTGTTACCCTGGGGTAAACTAACATGCAGTAAATATGGAAAAACCACTTCGTTTCCTTATGAAATAATCTATTAAAACAATGGATTTTCATGGATTTGTCATATGTGAGTATATTGCAGAAAATATCCCACCAGCCTTATTGCTGAGATCCAATGTGTTTGCGGGATAATGTTACAAACAGGCGTCTCGTATCGCCTGGACATTGCAACGAACTATCCAGGATATCAAAATTGATGATCATGATTATGCTTATTAATATATATATATTACTATTACGTTTATGCAGGAAATACTAGCATGATTTTGCGAAATCGTCTAACCAATCAGTACCCTTTTGTTGTTCGCTTGTTAGCTGTTGGTGTTGCAAAGTTGTTTGCAATTTCATCCTTGCATTTTTATGGTTTATGTCTTCATTGTTGACATCCAAGATCAGCATTTATAGTATATGCTCAAATCATAACACCACCTATATATATATAATTAGTTTCCAAATATGTGGCAAGAATTAACAAAAACTCTTCTGTCCGAAAAAGTCGGGATAAAACCCATGAAGGTGATGCTTTGGAACCGCGTTTGTCCCCATGAAGGGTTGAGGCCCGATTCGCAACGTGAATCTCCGTCCTTCCAATGTTCCCGGTACCACGACTCGTCGCATGGCAAATCGTGGTTGCCGCAAACCTGAGAAAAGCGCGCAGCCCAGATTTGTCGGTGCATGGGAGTGAAAGTTGGGCGATCATTTTGGAGATACCCTCTGGTAAACCAACATAACTATGGAAAATCACCCTTTTTGATGGGAAAATCCACTATAAATGGCAATTTTAAATAGCTATGTTAGTTTACCAGAGGGTAACCATCACCCCATAGAAAACCCATAGAAAATGGTCTCCCCATAACCAATCTCCCAAGAAATTTTCGAAAACCCATAGAAAACCATCACATCTGGCTAAACACTTTGGTTATTTTGGGATGGTTAGTGTTACATTTTACCATCAGTCCAGTGACGTCACAGTGAGGTCATTGTCATCCAAGCGTATTGGACTTTCACTGTGAAAGGAAACAATCATACAATTGGAGAGAAGCAAGACCTAGTCACCTACCTCAATCAGATTTACCGCATGGAAACAACGAACCAAGAAATCTTGCTCATTTTGGATCCCCCTGCCAGTTCTCTGGGTGGTTTCCCTATGCAACCAGCTGCAGTAACAAATCTAGGGTGCCGTGTTGTAGACCCTAGGTCAGTTTCCCTCAATAGAATATGATTTGAACACTGCAGCTGCATTTAGGCAATCTTCAACAAAATATAAAGGTCCTAGGTTCTTGTCATTCCAGATTTTCTTTGCAATCTTCTACCAACAAACTGCGTAGAAATTGCCAAACCTTAAACCAATGCAGAATGCAGGATGAAAAAACCACTCAAAGCTGTACGCTCTCCACGTTACGCTTAAACCATTCACCGGTTCATGCGTGAAGTGTATTGGTGTAGTGGAACATCTCCAATCACTGTTTGCACCCTGTGGTCCATTGTTTTGATCGACTTTATCTCAAGATTGGGTTTTGTTTCCCCCCTTTTCTGTCAAGATACGGGGTTCGGGCGATTAATATACGTATATCGATGTCATCACTACATGAAAAGAAAAATCTCTGAAGCATTGCCGGGCACTAATACTTCTGTTATCAACACGCGAGGTTCTTCCTTTAGGCTACGACGTCAGCTTGAGGCATCCCCCCAAGATTTGATGTCAAGAAGGACCGCTGGTTTCCCCAGATAAACCTAGAGGCGTCGTATTTTGTGTTCATTTAAAAAAACTATACATATTGTTTCCCTGTATGTTTGATGGTGAACCCTTAAACGCTCATTGTTGCTGGTTAAATATCCAGGTGTCCCTAGTTAAACCACCATGTTTGTTTAGTACAATCAATGTTCTTGATATTTCAATCCCTACAGTATTCAATCAGTTTTTCCCTAGTTGAATAATATAATGTTAAGTCACCATTCCCTATCAAAACCCTATCAGATCACCATTTTGCCTAATTAGTAAAGTACCCACATGTTGGCATCTTTCGGTATGCTGAGACGACCGCTCTGCTCCAAGGCGCCAACAGCTTGTGAGGAAAGGACAAGGACTTTGCCCAATCGCAAAAGTCGCGACATTCCTGTGATCCACAGCGTGGCGAGCAACGGCAAACGCAAGGAATAAAGGAAATGCATGGCAAGAGATGACACCATTCTGTAAATATATGTCTACATAGATACTATGTGTATTAATATACATCCAGTAAATAGATTAATTATAGATAAAAAAAATAAATATATAATAAAATGTATGATAATATAATAAAATATAATGCAATACAAAATCATATAATATAATATAAAACATAACAAAACATAATATATTATAATATAATAAATATAAAATATAAAATGATATAAGATAAGATAATATAGTTTATAACAAAGCAAAAATATAATATGATAGAATAAAACAAAACAAAAAATAATATAATATATATATAACATAAAATAATATAATATATAACGTAAAAATAATATATAACACAACATACTATAATATAAAATAAAATAAATCATAATATAGTATAATATATAACATAATAAAATATATTATACAACAAAATGAAATAATATATAACATAAAAAAAATATAATATAAAACAAAGTATAATACAATATAAAACATAATAAAATAAAATGCAATATAATATAATATGTAACAAAAAATATAATATGATAAAATATACTATATTATAATATAATATAAAAATAATGCAATAGAATATAATATAACATAATATATAATAATACAATACAATATATAACATAGTATAATATAATATCATATAGTACACATAGAACATGGTATAAAAACAAAATGTAATATAACAAAATTGAGTAGAATAGAATCAAATAGAAAAGAATATATATATAAATATTTTATAGTAATTATACAATGTAATATATGATATAATCATATAATATAATAAAATAACATAATCATAGAATACAATAAAATAGAACATAATATAAATATAGTATAATAAAATAGACCAAAATAAAATATAAAATAGAATATAATACAAAATCATAGAATAGAATAGAACAGAATAGAATAGAATATATACCTTTGTGTCCGTATATGTCTCTGTATATATATATATATATATATACAGACAGTGTACAGTAGATCCTGTATCTACCCCAACAGCCAGCAGAATATCGCACCCAGTCCTCCTCTGTACCGTTGTTCGTAAAATCTCCGCAGTGAATGAGTACATCCTTGGAGCGTGACTACAGGTGGTTGAACCACCTCCCCAGAAAAATGGGAGCGAAGGTCACTTAGATCATCATTACTGGGGTTCAATATCAATATCATTCAATGTCAACATGTTTGAAACGAACCGCAGGATCATCATTGGTTGTATCCCCATGATATCTGTCCATGTTATCATCATATTTTTCCTAGCGAAATCTCCAATGATGGAACTGGTGAAAATCCAAAGACCACACCACTTTTGGCTGGTGATGTCATTTGACTGTTGGAATCTGACCCAGGAAGGGTGAATTAAGGAATGCATGCTTGTCCCATTAACATGAACATCTCCATTTATAGGGAATTTTCCCATGATTTCATACGTTTTCCATGGTTTTCCCGCATGTTCCTGGGATTTTTCAACTTTTTAAAAGATATTTGCCAGCTAGCCATGTTAGATGACACCGGAGGGACGCCATATTCTGGTGTCAGCTGCTTGTAGATTTTATCCTTTTTCCCGAATGCGTAGCAAGGGTTCCCGTGTCACTCTGGGGGTCTGGGGGTTGAGGATGTGTTCGCTCGACGTTGCGCAACCCTTAGCAACCGTCCGCAAGTGTCCGTGTGAGGGCCGTATGGCCGTGCCTATTGTAAGTTCTGCAACAGGGGTCACTTTTGGAGGTTTCCAGCGTCGCGTTGCTTCGTTTCGCGTGGCAGGGGTGGCACTTCGTGACATTCAGACGTGTTTCGTAACTTGTCGAAAGTGGTTTTGTGTGGCAGGCACAATACTTTTGCGTCGTTTTCAGAAAATGCATTGCAGATCATTGCAGTTTTCGTGGCAGGCGCAGCACTTTAACGACCTCCATCGTCATTTTGCGTAGCAGGCCGGGCGCTTTGGACGTGATTAGACGTGTCGTGTTGCGTGTTTTTGCGAATCGTATTGTCAGGGCTGCGTCAAGTGGCGACAACGTGCTGAAATATGACGGAAGCCTCGTGCGAAACATCGATTCGATTTTGAGGTAGCAAATTTCGAGGTTCATAAGAAAACTCGTTGGAAAACATCGATTTTGAAGCCACAAAGTGTCAAAATTGGAGGAAGTCTCGCACGAAATGCTCGTTTTGATGCTCCAACATGTCTCGTCTCGAGTCTCTGGTTTTCCTCTGGGTTCGCCGTGTCTATAGGGGAAGCTGCAAAACCTATCCTTTTTGAAGGTGTCAAAATCTGGTTGTAATGTCGTTTTGCGAGGCAGGCGTGGCACTGTTGCATCGTTTTCAGAAGATGAGTTGACTCTACATAATATACACTCGACACTTTACACTTTACACTCCACAGTTTACACTTTAAACTCCACACTTTAAACTTTCCACTTGACACTCCACACTTTACACTCCACACTCCACACTTTGCACTGTACACTTTTCACTTTACACTCCACACTCCACTCTTTACACTTTACACTCCACACTTTACACTTGACACTCTACACTTGTCACTCCACATTCCACACTCTACACTTTACACTCTACACTTTACACTCCACCACACTCCGCACTTTACACTCCACACTTTATACTCTACACTTTACACTTTCCACTTTACACTCCACACTTCACACTCCACACTTGACACTTTACACTTTCCACTTTACACTTTGCACTTCACACTTCACAATCCCCACTCCACACTCTACATACAACATTCCCCACTCAACACCCCACTTTCTTCACACTCCAGACTTTGCATTCCACCCCATTCCAGATTCCACAGTCTACAGAGCACTGGTGCGGTAACAGGGGAAAAAAGTACAAGACTTTTCAAATAATTTGTTTCATAAAGTGCTTTACGTGACGGCATTCGGGTTCGTGGGCTGAATCTGGTTCATCCATTAAAATAACACTGCGTTGCTTCCGTCACCAATCTGAGAAAGCATCCCGCTTTCCATTGGTCTTCCATACCCCCTGGTAATTTTTCTTACATAGCTATTGGTCATCACCAATTTTAAGGCCTAAACCATCGAATCAAATGAATCAAACCACCGATCCGCCGGATTTCCGTGGCAACATCTTGGATTTGCTGCTTAAGGACCCACCCAAGAAAAAGAACATATTTCCTATAGAGATTATAGATTCCCCAGTCGTAGTGGATTTCTGTGGATTTCCCATTAGGAAAATAGAACATCACCTTAGATCAACCTAAACCCAAGGCAAATTTTGCGCCGTCGCGGGGACACCTTGCATCAAAGTCGTCCCAGGCACACCTGGGGGGAGCTCAATCTTCCAGTGGAGCATATGCGTATCGGAAATTGCCACCTTGGCCAACGGTGTTTTCTGCATGTTTCTGGGGGTTGCGGAGTGAAACAGAGTGAAACTGCTAGAAAACAGCTATAAACTAAGTACAGGAATCAATTCGACCCACAAAAAAAACTTCGATGAGTTCCCTCTTGGGGATAGCCCAATCTGATATTCTCTTAACTCTAGATACTCTAGAATGATTTGTATGTTCATCTCAACCTTGAAACCTCCAGCCTCAAGCTTGAGCTTACTACCTGCTACTAAATACATTGCACATTTTTTTTTCAAGATTGAAATAGCCAATAACCTACGGATTTTTTTCTAAAGATATGGAACCAATAAAAATGATGACCATCGGATGCCCTCTCTGAGTCTCCATTTCTGATCTGTCGCTTTCAGCGCGGGGTTTTCCACACCGAGAAATGGTTGGTGGCTACTACCTGATCGGATTTCTCGGAGTCTCATACCTCAACCCACCCACAAGATCCGCATATATATATAAATATTATATATATATATATTATGTATATCTTTTTTATAATATATAATATATATATATATATATATGTGGAGTCCCATAATGTACTATATTATATATATATGTATGGGATAAATATGCGTATGGGTCAAATTGAAGGCCAGACGCCAGATCTTGGCTTAGTCTGAACCATATCCAATTCAGGAGGTATCCAATTTTAAACCACCCCATCTAGATTGATGAATATGTCTGCCACCACTAAAACTCCTGGCTTTCAGACACCACATTCGTGCTACACGGTTCCCCACGAGTTATAAGTTGCTGCAAGTTGGTTTATAAACTCCATTTAAGTATTTTTCTAATTACCATTAAACCCTATAGTTGTACTATAGTTGTGTTCCAACTTAGCTAACTAGGGGGCACCCACCTTGTAGTATCTTCCGAGGGACACAGCGTAGCCTTCCGTCTCCAATCTCGCTGGAAATGGCCTGGCAACAAAAGACTCTTGTTTGTTGATGTCTGATGAAATGTGGGTCAAACAATGCCATAAACCACCCATGACTGGGCATGGTTTACACCACCTATTTATGGTGAATTACCATCTGGTAAGCTACCATAGCTATTGAAAATGGCCCATAGAAAAATGGGTTTATGGCATTGTTTTACTTACATTGTATTAGATGGATGGAAAATAGATGAACATAGAACATGTTGGAAGCCACCAACCGGAAGAAATGGAAAAAACAACAGTGATGGAGAAGAAAAAACATGTACGGTGAAGGGTGACAGAACTGTGCTGAGAGATATATGCCACTAGCAGGCATGGACACTCCAAGGATTGCAAGATGTGGACATGATCCACATGATATCCTTGCACAATTATCACCTCAATATCAATATATAATCAGAGAACGCATCGAACGCGCCTGTTCACGCGTGGTGCTCCATTGGCTGGCTCAATACAGAGACCGAGCTGCACAGAGCAGCTGGTCCCGGAATGACCAGCTGGATGAGCATACTTCATTGAAGTATGCTCATCAACGAATTTGATACAGTTTGATCTCTTGAAGAAATATATGTACTACTATGTAACTATGTACTTCAATATCCAAGTGGCCGTCAGAAAGGCCCCAGGATGTTTGTATCTCTTTGGATCGCCAGGTTGATCTCGGGGAGGTCCAGGACGTCCAGATATCGTGTGATGGGCGATGGCAGGGCCACCTATTGGGGCTCCAAGGAATCTATTCCCCAACTGGCTGAAGTCAAAAGTGCATGACCCCTCATTTTAAACTGTGAAAAATATTAGTCAATGGGAAGGATTATCCCATATATTATGGAAAATAAAAAATGTTTGAAACCACCAACCAGCAAAGTTGTTTGTCTTTGTGAGATGGTACTGGTCCAAAAAAAATACAACGTTTTCATGGAGATTCTCTTGGAAGTTGACCTTGCTCAATATGTATGGCACTTACTTGGGATCCCAAGGTGACAACAAAACACACACCATGCGTCATTCCAAGCAACTCGTCTGAGAAGAAGCTATCCTTCATGGTTTTTCGCGCTGAGTTCTCCAAGCACCAGGCCAATGTCAAGTTGAGGCAAACCAATGGGACCAAGCATCACCTGGCGCTGCGACTGCGGAGGAACTTGGGAATTTGCCATCAATGGCAAAGTGTAACCCCAAGCCTGGGGGTGAACTCGCCACTTCTCATTGTGTTGAAAATTGGTCATCTTCGAGCTGTTTCGGGAAGTTCTCTCGGAAATATGCTTGGCATAGGTCAGAAGCACAATTCTAAACAAACAAGAGACAAGAAGTCAAGTCGGACCCTCCAGTTTTTGACACAGGCTATACACATAATGAATTGCGCCACATCCTCATATGCTTGTGCGCAACAGATCTTCATGATCTTCTGGTTGACGCCATATTCCCGGTGTTTCTGGTTCAAACTTACTCCATCTTTTGTTCAAACCTCCCCTTATCTTCGTTTGTGGTTTTCCCTCCTGACATCCACCTCTTAATCATCATATGATTAAACCGATTGCCTACTTACCGTTTTAAGGGACAGTTCCGTTCAAGTTTGTCAAAAACACTGAATTACCCAACTAAGTGCCAGTTGAATCCAAGAACAACAAATCTAGTGGGATTTTGCCGAGTTCCCATCAATTTCACTTAAAAATTGTTGGGCAAACAGATGCCTAAATGATGATCAACAGTGGCTTGTGGTGTGCTGTGGTGGTTCTCCAAATTCCCAATATGTTCAAGTACCAAAGCCATTTTCATCATCGTTCACCTTGTTTTCCTCTAAAATGTGTAAAACCAGACCATCATATGGCTGATTATGGACCACATGAGATTATCTCCCATCAAATATCACTGTAAAATTGTCGGTTTTATTACCCCATCACTTCTTTGATTAAATCCCATATCATTTTGGTTGTTATCTACCCGTTTTTCTCCCATCATATTCCCGTATATCGCCATGAAATCCCAAAAAAACATCCCATGTTTAATCACCATTTTCGCAATTTTCCTATAAATCCATGATATCCCATATCATTCCCATATAAATCCATATAAAATCCCATATCTCACCATTTTCCATCGCCTTTTCCGTTTGTTTTTTTCGCGTCGTCGACACCTCGCCCCGTCCCTTTAAGGGCGGTCCGTCCGAGGCGCCGTGCGTCTCCAAGATCTCCAGCTGCTGCAGGTGGCACCTGAGGACCTGCGTCAGGTCGAAGGTCTCGCAGGTGGCCAGAGACACCTCGGCGACTCGCTGGCCCGTAACGGAGGTGTTTCCACGCAACGAAAGAGAAAATAATACATGGTATCTATGGTTATATATATATATACCATGTATATATATAACATGGTATCTGCGGTGAATTATATGTGTATAAATATCATATGTATATATGTATATATGTATGTTATAGGGATTAGTATCATATATGGTATATAACCATAAGATTATATAAGAGTATACATGGAGGTTTCCGAAGTCATGGGGGTACCCCCAGTTATCATACGCTTGTTAGATGACCATCACTTAGTATTGAAACCTATGGTGACTTGGGGATTTAAGAAAGATGGGGTTAAGGAAGGGGTGGATGAAGAATGGGATGGAGATATTTTCTGGGACCTGATGAGACTACAATGATTTGATAGAATGGGTTGGACATGAACACGTGACAAAATCTGACACATTTATACAGTCATAATATGTTATAATATGTCATAATATGTCATAACATGTCATAATATGTCATAATATATGTCATATATTGTCATATCATATGTCATAATATGTCAATACTTTGGAAATTGAATGGAATTGATGTTTTTGTCGAAACAGTATGTCAAAAACAAATGAAGATTAACAACTCATCAGTAAATATGTAGATGGGCTGTTTTCCAATGCGGAGTCCCGCAGGAGACAGGGGAAATCAGGAGAAAATCTGGGATGGAACTGATGAACATGCGGCGGAATAACTTGCGGAATTTTGGATGACACTTTCTTTGGAGATGGGGATGCAAGCAATAAACATAGGACTTTGTTCAGCATGTTTTTGCCAACAAACAATGGGGATTGACGGCTGCCACGGAGCCTGTGTTGGATTCGAAAGGGTTGCAGCTTGGGACAATTGACCATTGATCTTTGTATCATTTCATATCTGCTACGGTCAAGTTACATGGAATCCGGGAATGATTTGTTATCTATGGGTTGTGGACATCCCGCCACAACATTGCGATTTTACCATTCGAATTTTCTATGTTCATTAAGTTTGCTAATGGTGGTATTTGCCCATCCCCCTTGGAGAAGTCAGCCATTCTCATGGCACTGGCATGCCACTGGCTGGCCGCCATTGTTTCTCCTTTTAAGGACTCATGGTTTCACCCTCTTTCACCCGTGAAAAACGTACCCGGTAAGGCCCTATTTAACACCTTGCTTCAAGGACAATGGCCCATAGAAATAGATGATTTATGATGATTGCCCTTTTATAGATAATCAACTAACATGATGGATTTACCATTAAAAGTTGTGATTGTCCAGTTCGCTTCTTTAAATAACCAAAACGTATCCAAAACGTATTGACCTAAAATCAATAAGAAATTTCTGTGGAAGTCATAGGTACCCAACAATTGACTTTTGCGGCTTGTGTTAATGTTCCTGCTCACTCACAATAGTTTGAACCGATCACTTATCGTCTTGATGGTGCTTAACCCATCCCCTTTCAACACAACACCACAACCTGTCCTTCATCGAAGTGATCTGAAACCACTAAGGATGGTTCTTCCCTTGCAGTGCCTTGCAGCATATCGTCAAATCATATCATATATTATCATATATCCCATGACGGATCCATGGTGCTGGTATATTAATGCTAACATTGATTGGGGGTATATTGATGGGATCCATGGCACACCATATATAGCAGCACCATGGATCCGTCATGGGATATACCCTCTGGTTATTTAACATAGCCATGGAAAATTGCCCATTTATAGATGGTTTACCTATTAAAAAATTGTGATTTTCCATGGCAAACTGTTAGTCATAACCAGATGGTAATTACATCAAATCAGAAGTCAAACATACGAGCCTTCCCTATGATCCTACCTGGTTTGCATCAACTCAACTTGGGCGCCCTGCCACAGTCGGGTCCCATCTTCTCATGCAGTACTACTGGGTATGAAAAAGCGGAAAAAAAACGCCAACCTATGGCCATTGAAATTCGTGAAAATGATTTTCAAAACCCTTGGATTGTGGTGATTTCCCCAAGAAAAAACCCAAGAAATCTATAGTTCTTGCTTCTCAAATCCAACTTAAACTCCTTTACCTGACCTCTTTTCATCCAGGGGCTTGCTGGTAGTTGAGCTCCATCTGAAAATGCCGTTCCTCCAATTTCTCTCTGGAGAGAATCGACACTTGGGCAGCTTTCGCCGCCGCGTCACCGTCAAAGTGATGCGAATCATGTGGAGTTTCCAGTATCCCCATGGACAGGTACTTTCCTAAGTTGCGCCATCGAAATGCTGAGATTCATCGAAATGCTGAGGTTTCGAAATCTGTGACTTGGGGGTACACCAAAAATATGTTTAAGTGAGTCAAACGCAATGATCCACAACATCACTTATTCCGTTGATTTGTTTGGCGCTTTCAAAATGTTACTGGTAATTAAACATACCATCGGAAAGGTTGACCCACGGCACCTTTCTGTGAAAGTTTGTTCCGATGATCTTCCCAATCAGAATCTCCAATGGTTGAAGTGAACCTCTACAGGGAAAACCCATCTTTGGAGGATCAAAACCCTTCTTTCCTGTCAAATGTTGCTTGAATAAATCATAATAAATCCATTGAAACTCAAGTTCTTCTTGTTTTAGCCTACGGCGCCATTAACGACCCCTGCGTTTTTGTCATTTTTGCTGATTGGAGGCAAGTTGCTCTTGAAATTGATGCATGCAGAACTGATGTCACGTCACTGGGTTGGGGTGGGGTGGGGATGTTAACGGTACTTGCGTCACGTGCACAACTGGCGTCGCGTCACCAGGTTGGGGTGGGGTGGGGATGTTAACGTTCATGTTAACTTGCGTCACATGCACAACTGACGTCACGTCACTGGGTTGGGGTGGGGTGGGGATGTTAACGTTCATGTTAACTTGCGTCACTTGCACAACTGACGTCACGTCACTGGGTTGGGGTGGGGTGGGGATGTTAACGTTCATGTTAACTTGCGTCACATGCACAACTGACGTCACGTCACTGGGGTGGGCTGGGGTGGGGATGTTAACGTTCATGTTAACTTGCGTCACATGCACAACTGACGTCACGTCACTGGGTTGGGGTGGGGTGGGGATGTTAACGTTCATGTTAACTTGCGTCACATGCACAACTGACGTCACGTCACTGGGCTGGGGTGGGGTGGGGATGTTAACGTTCATGTTAACTTGCGTCACATGCACAACTGACGTCACGTCACTGGGTTGGGGTGGAAGGCGGAGGCCAAAAAGGCCGGTTTTCAGTTTTCCTGTCGAATGCAGTTTGTGAAGAAGGTTCCTAGGAAAAGATTCTTTACAGGAACCCAGCTGTTGGATAGCTTTTGGAAAATTCTCAAACAATTCGTTGTTTCCAACCTGCGAACTCGCGGGAAGTTAGATCGCCGTGTCGACCGGCGCTTGCTGGACCAGATTAAAGCCTTCATGTACTACAGACACAACTCAGGTCATAACCTGCGGAAGGAACTGGGAAAGCTGGCCAAAAAGAGTCGACGCCGAAGACCTTGCAAGGTAAGTTGAAAAAGAAGTGTTGCTCAATGACTTGTGGTCAGATGTAACTAATTTTCTCCAACAAAACGAAAAAACGATAATTCGTTTCAGGGGTATTGAAAATCGATGAACGTTTCACACGAAACGCACTTTTTGTAGTAGGCCCCAAAGTAACTACGATTTGACATTTTTATCACGTTTTTACAAAACATTGCAAATACCATGATTTGGTGAACCAAGCATCATGAAAAATCAATGAATTACCCCGGGTCGCTAACCGCGCCGTAGCCTTGTTTTACTCATAGTAAGTCCCCATGAAAATCCAATCCGATTGGTGAAATATCACCACGATTCCCCGATCCAATTGAAACCAGGGACGATCTGCTTCGATTTCTTCAGAAACCTTGTATGGCAATCTGCACGGCAAACCCAGGTACGGGTTCCTCGGTGGATCTCGAAAGCCCAGAAAACGCAAAAAACGTCCATCATCGTCCATCGTTGAATTTTTTTTTATCGCCAAACACGGGGAGTTTTGACCATCAACGATGGGAGTTTAAACGTTTAACCATCAAACATTATATATATGATGTATACATATACGCACCGAACCCATACATATATATATATATATATCATATATAATCATATGTAGATGTATACATAGGGATCTAATGGCATAACATGGTATAACCAACATGATATGACATGTGGGTTTTGTCTAAAAATGGGAGATAGCCAACCCAAATGGCAATGTTCATGGGGAATGCATGGGAATATGATGATTGACTATGGGATTTCAGGGTATCAAGCAAAGATGGCTGCTCGATGTTCCATATATGTCCTACAGGTTCCCATAGTTCTTGTTGCGCTTTTGGGGCAAACTGTGCAGCCCCAAACCTTCTGTCATCCCCAAACTCTGAACCTGGCTGAGATTCAAATCAATGTGATGGTTCAGGGCCAAGGTAAGTCTCCAAAAGCTGTCCTTGCATGACGTCAGGACCTGCCTAGCCCCATCGATAGAATGAATGACACCATGGTAACATTGACGATTTCAGGCCTACTACCTGAATATCGAGTATAATATACTAATTATACAGGCCAATCACGTCATTTTTCGAGTCCCCAAAAAGATTGAACAGAAAGTTAGCACCAAAATTGGCCGGTTTTTTCCATTCTTGTAGAAATGGTGGAAACATGTTGAAACAACGTCTGAACAGTGTGTCTGAACAGAAGGAATCCCCCAACATGTCATTCTGGTGGGGAAAATGATCAGAAACCATGGGGATTTTGGCTCGGATCTGCTCAAGCGGGCCATTAAAACACACATATTCCGAGTAGATTCCCCAAATCGACTAACCAATGGGACAATTCAGTCTCATGTTCAGCACATCCAGGTTTTTTGTTGTTTGGAATTCCAGACTGCTGGCATCATATCATCTTTTTTTTAAACCACTATATACGTAGTTCTATACCCCAATATTAGTTGATTATATCCCTGTCCAAAAATCCTTGGTTCCGTGTGAAATTCCATCGAATTGTTGCTGATTTTCTCGGGCTGAGCATCCTCGCAGAGCATCTGAAAGTTGGGGCACTCCTGGGCGGTGCTGTAGCCAGCTTTTAGACATGTGGTAAACCCTGGCTGCCATAAACAACTACCATTTGGGGATGGTTGGATTACAACTCAGACACATGGTGATTTCTTGGGGATTGCTCTTGAAGTTGGGTTTGCAACCTTTATTTACATGTTTTCTATGATGTTTCATCCGCTAAGGCTGAGGTGGGTTAAAACTGATACTGCATAGCATTGCTAGTCTGGAAAGTGGTGAACATGTTGGTACGTGCAGCAAAACACTTGCTCTTCGCAAATGAATCTGTGTTCAGAGCTCATGAGTCCATTGAATGAATATCCAGCACTTCACCAACATGTTTCTAGTTTAGTGTGATCCAGTTTTCAACAGAACATTTGGAGAAGTTGCGACAGACTCTTTAGTCTAAATCATCCAAATTTGAGAGATTGAACTGATTGATTGAATACAGCCAGTAACTCAACCCAACAGTCAAAACAAATAGTACCAGTCCTTACAACGCGGGGGCATGGAAACAAAAGGACGACTCGGTTCGTCATCGCTGAAATCCACATCCAGGTCCATCGCGCTGATCGAAGAAAACACGAACCCAGATACAAGTACATGGTTGGTGGTTTTAACCATCTTGGAACATATCAGTCAATGGGAAGGATGACATCCCATATATTATGGAAAGTCATAAAAATCATGTTCCAAACCACCAACCAGATATAACCAGATATTATTGACCTTTGTTATCCCTTTCTGTAATGTGTTTTCAAACAACTTCAGGCGCCTGTTTTGTGTCCCAGGTCCCACGTCACGTCCCACGGGCTGAAGCCCCACATCCCAAGGTTCCCAGGCCGCAGCCGGGTCGAAAGCCTCACTGCTGGGGCATTTCGGCAGATTTTCCTTGGATTTGCAGAAGGAAGCCTAAAAAAACACAGCAGATCTTCCCTGAAAATCGATCCCAGTAGTGGATCTCCCATTGGGAAAATATGGAGGTTTCCTAAGTCATGGGGGTACCCCTAAATCATCCATTTTAATAGGATTTTCCCGAAAATAAACCATCCAGCTTTTAGGGCACCCCCATTTTAGGAAACCTTCATATGGGGATGGGTCAAAACCCTATCCCCCTGGTGAACATCAAAATAGCTGGTAAATGGATGTTCATCCCCCTAAAAATGGTATATAATAGGTATTGATCCATACCCATATGGGAAAATAAAGCCACATCACGGTAGACAAAGCCAAGCTTCCTTTCCCACTTGCGTTTCCTGGCAAAACTTCCAGCCCCCTTTTCCAGCGCAGAGATCCAGGATGCCGCGAGCCAATGGGGCAGTCCTGGCGCCAGTTGCGATGGTTGCGATCCACGGAGGGTCGTCAAGTCCAAGTATAGATGAACCAATGGCAAAGAATCTTAGAGTAAGTGGTGGATTGATAACCAATAATCGCAATTAAACTATATAAACTATATCTTCATGTCTTTAAATGGTGGATCGCTTGGGAGCTTCCTTTCTGAGCCTCAAAAATATGCTTCTTGGACCAGCGGTATGTGTTCAGGGACCAACATGTTCTCTTGGCAGCGACTTGGGCCGCTGGGCCCACAACAACTCATCGTGGTTCCTGGGGTCCCTTCGCCTAAAAACTCTTAAGCCATCACAAAACAATTCTGGCGCCTCCTAGAGAGTCATACTCACAACGTGTGGTGGTCTACAACGACGGAAGTGGGCATGAAGAATATGTATCTGATTTCATCTAAATACATCTCAATGCATCTACCATGCCCACCAACTAACATAGACATTTGACCCTGAACACTGCTCAGCTCAGGCCCCTGTTTGGCAAGGCATATTATCATATGTTAGTTGAAGGCTACATCAGCAATAACTAATTCCTCTGACTTTGGCCAAGTGATATCTGGTGGGGTCTGGAGAATCTCCTGTAGTGCCCAGGGCGTCCTCAATTTCATCATAGTCTTCAGGTAAAGGCAAATATTGGCAATACCAAAGCCTGCAGCTTGTTGCCAATAATTATCGGCTACCCACACATACCAATGGTCCTTTGATGTACCATAGGATGATGTAGGGGTGATGGATTTCTGAACCAGAATACACTTTTGCCGTTCCGCGCTATGCACATAGAGTACATCCCATAAGAATCCATAAGACGCCTCTTGTTTCGTTGGGCATGATCCTCCGAAATGTATGACACAGAAGGAGCCTTGTGTGAATCGATTCAATAATCAATAAAACCACAAGAAAAAACTTGGTCAAACCAAGACTCCCCCTCCCTTCTTAGACACAACGTCATGCCATCACCTACCCTTCAAGACCACAAGGGACTAGAACCGCTTGCTTCTTTCAAGCAGTGGTCAACAAATTTCATCCAAACCAAAAACTCTGCAACAACTCGCCCCAGTGGCCCAGTACCTTAGTACTTGGGAGGTCGCCATGATCCAGATCCAGGCGACTGGTGCGTGGCATTGGAAGAAGCTCCTCTGGGATCTTCTGCTTCAAGGCCTCTAGCTGTGACAGAAAAAAACATCAGCTGGTTTTGGGTTGTCATCCAACCTTTTAATCCAACCATCTCTAGGACTCTACGAGAATTCTCCGGGTGACCATGGCTTCACAAAACCATTTGGAAGAGGAACCAGCGACAGCGACATGATTTTTGCAGCGCGGAGCTTGAACCGCTCATCTAAAAATTGAACCCTCCAAACACATCTTAGCGGCAAAACCAAGCCATGCGTCGCGTCCTTGTCCATGTACGTTAAAGTTGCATTTCATCCAAATTTGGGGATGAAATCATAAAATGCGCTGTTCCAACCAATCATGCGTATCAAAGGTATAATATGATATATATATATTATAAATACATAATCCTGCTCGTTGCTGCGCAAATTCCTTCATCAACGATCCTGTCGCGAAATTGATTCTTGAGGTGGAGACTTCTCAAACACCAAAAACAATGGCTTCCCGATTATAAATGATCAATCTTAATCAATTTTAAGGATAATTTGGGGTCCCCCGGTTCAAGAAATTGCCATTTGGAAGGCGTGGAAACCATCTCTCGATATCAGCCTCACAATACTGCTGGGAATACTTCAGGTTGACAGTACTTCCGTTTGAATACCGTGCGCTCCGAAGCCCCCCTGCTTTCCCTTCACATATGCACTAAAAAATCATAGCTTAGAAAAGCCACAAAAGGCTTTCCATTCGAACAACTATAGACTTCACAATCTGGATGACGTGTCCAACAACCCCCTTATCCAATATGATACCCTCGCGCCTCCTTCCGCACTCGTTTCATGGAATTCCAATGCTTCATGACCTCCGAGGACGACGATGGCTGAAATCCGGGGGAACATCTTCTTTTTGGGTTCCTTTTTGCATGGGGGTATCCCAAAAATGGATGGTTTATCATGGAAAACCATGGAAAACCCTATTTAGATATATTTCAATGGATGATTTGGGGGAACAACCCCTATGTTAGGAAACATCCAATTGGGAAATCGATGACTTTTGGACTTTTGGGGAAATCCCCATGACTTAGGAAACCTCCATAGTTGATGCGCAAATGGGACAGCTGGTGGTATCCCCACAACAACAACGCGTTCGTGACGCGTGAAAAAATCTGTCAACCCAACAGTGGTTCCAACAACTACCCTCTGGTAAACTAACATAACTATGAAAAATCACCATGTTTAATGGGTAAATCCACTATATTTTTGTATGTTTACCAGAGGCTACCGACATCCTGGGGCAGAAAAAAACCTGGGGTCTGGATGATACACCATGAATTTTCCCTACGATCTGGTGCCACGTCGTCAAGTTGCAGCACCACAATACAATCCATCCGATATGCGGTGAATTAAATCCCCATGAACTTGGATGGATGATTTCCATCCCATCCAATTTTCGATGACACTTGCCCATTATATATATATACATACATATATATATATAGATATGTTGATATATATATATATGTATATCTATATATATCCAGTAATTAATTTCAGTTTTTCCAGTTTTTTTCATCGAAATCGAAGCCGGTGACATCTCACGGGACCATGGCACATCGCCTTGAACCCCCGCGGATGATCCATACAACGCTGCTCCCCCATCTGCAGCATCTTCAGCAGCTCCGCGGTACCGTCCTGGACGCGTAGGTAGCGTCGGCGTCGGTGACATGGGAAACACCAAGCAGGTCATGGGACGAAACAAAGCTGGGAATATGATTGGAATACCCTCTGGTAAACTAACATAGCAATGGAAAATCACCATGTTTAATGGGAAAATCCACTATAAATGACAATTTTCAATAGCTATGTTAAATTACCAGAGGGTATGTGGTTGGCCCCAGCTTGCCAAGTTAGTGAAACAAGTTGACAATTCTGGGTGAAGTAGGAATTACGCAAGTTTTTGTATAGTTTGATGAGATGAAAGAAGCAAGAACTGGGGAGGTCCAGCCTGGAATAGAGCCAGAAAACATGCCTTAAGACTTTCAATATCAATGAATCACTTGAATGTACTTGGTATCACCGGAGGAGCATGGAGTAGATTAGAGTTGAGTGGACAAACCAAATCGAACCTGGCCAATACTGTTGGTGCTTCAATCGCACACGTCTCTCGACAAAAAACGGGTAAGACCAAAGCCCATTGAAAAACGGCAAGCATATGAAACGAGGATGTCTTAACATATCTTAACTACCCCCCAGCTCATGTCTAGTTTTGAAATCTTATGAATCATGGACCTTCAGCCCTGTGTCTGAACCCTTGGCTCTGCCCTAGTGATCTTCTTTACCCCGCCAGGGGCACCCAATTTTTCAGGCCCAATAGGGCCCATGGAATCCCATGTAAACATAGCAACCAAAGATAGAAAGGTCAATTCCTACTAAGAAAGTGGCAAATCATTGTTTTATCCTTTTGTGGCTATAAACATCTTAAAACGACCGTACTTGCTCGTTAATATCTATCAATCATCAACACAAAATTATTTTCGAATTGTCGATGGTTAGTAACATTCTATAGCCATCAACCATCAACCAGCTCTGGTTGGTGGTTTCAACCTACCCTTCTGGACCCTTCTGAAAAATCATGGAGTTCGTCAGTTGGGATCATGAACTTCCCAATGTAATATATGGAAAAATAAAATTGTTCCAAAGCATCAACCAGTGCAGTTTTGCGAATTCTTTCCATGTCTCCAAGTTTTTGGCATCAAAATCAAGCAAGGTGAGCAGTGTTCAAAAGTTTTGGCATCAAAATCAAGCAAGGTGAGCAGTGTTCAAAAGCCTCTGTCGTCCCTTGCTGCATTAATACTGGCTGGTCAAGAACGGGATTCCCCATGGATTGTGATATGTCTTATATATATATATATATTGGATAGTGTGACTCAGTATAACCTCATATAATCATCAACCAACCATCATTTATTAGCTATATCAACGTTTATCTTCACATTTTGCTGTCTATACTCCCTATGAAATGGCGAACTAATCATCTACCAACCATCATGGTTCAACCATAATTGTTCATATGTATCATCTATATCCCCATGTGTTTGATGTTTAAATCCCTACAATCATCATCATCATCATCATCATCACCAGCATCATCATTATCATCATCATCATCATCATCCATACAATTCCTGTAGTCATCAACCAACCATCATTTATCAAGCACAATGTATTCTCATATGTTGATGCTATTACCTCATATGAGGTTTCCTAAAAAAGGGAGTACACCAAATCATCCAAGTCATGGATGACCATGACTTGGTATCGAAACCATTTGGGGATCCCCCATTTTTTAGAACCCAAAAATCATCCATTTTATTTTCAGATTGTCCATGAAATAAACCAATATAGCCATTGGGGTGAAACCTTACAGGATGGTGCCCCCCAGTTATGTTTGTTGGTTTAAAACCACATCTAGATATAATTATATGTATGCGTATCATACACTATTGTTATATATTGTTATTATAGTTATGTTCACCAACTTAGCTCAGTATGATTTTGTTGGACACCTCCACATCATCGGAAAATCATCTCCAAATGGCAAATTTCTTCCATTGCTCTCTATTTTGAATAGCGGTAAACCTCTATGGAAACCCAACAAAAAACATCAACCAAAGGGGGGGTTCGATGGTTCCATTGCTCGATCGGCTCGATCGGGCGTCCACCGTGGACAGATCATGTTGTCGCAGAAGTTCAAGGTGGAAACCTTTGCTGGTGCTTTTGGGGAACGAAGAAGTGCCAGGGTCACGTTGTTTGTGAGTGAAATCATGTGAAATCTGGGTCTTAATGAGATTTTAATGTTCTTTTTTAATTGCTTCTAAAAGGTTTTAATGGGTTTCAAATGGGTTGTAAAAGGGTTTTTATGAGTTTTAGTGGGTTTTAATGAGCTTTAAAAAGGGTTTAATGGGTTTCAATTGGTTTTAATATGTTTTTTCAGTGGGTGTTGAATGGGTTTTAATGGACAAAATCATCTACAGTACAAATGGGGATTCGTGTCAACCCCCAGTTCACTTATTAATTAAGGGGGGTCGCCAAACGTAAGAAATCGTTTGAGAAACCATGCCCCAACATGTGATGGTTTGATCACAAGAGGGCCAAATCTATCTATGAGTTGGCGTCCAAATTTGATATATACTACCCAAGCTTTTTTGGATGTTGCTTACAGTAATGACAGTAACCCTTTTATTTTTTGCTAATTCAAATCTTATCTCGGGTATGGGTAAAAGCTGATATCCCCTGGGGGTGGCTTGGTGGGAATGACCAATTCATCTGCAGATTCGAAGGCCTTCAATTTCCACTCATTCGCATGTTGAATGGGTGCAGTTTGATGATCCATGTCCATGTCCTCTGGAATCTTCAGACTTTCTCTGGGTATTTCCCAACGGGGTACCGCAAATCCTTGGTTTCCCCATTATACATGACCAATTTAAGTGTCGATGTTCGTCGATTTTGGTGGTATCCCATTTGATTTGGAAAGAACAAGAATTACCCCTCACTAAACAATCATGATTACCAAAAAGTTCTTGCTTCTGATTAATTGTACACACGAATTACAGTAAACACCAATTTGAAATGATTTGGGAGTCCCAAAATTTGAGGGAACCGCCATCTGGTCGCCCCTGAAACGTTCAGATCAGCAGCGGCTCAAGGGAAAGCTGTGCAGCAAAGCTGAACCTCGTGGAGTGGAGGAACTCTATGGCTGCATTGCCATCCTTTCAACAGACCAAAAGAAATGAACAGTGCTCAAAACCCTCTGTCATTCCATCATATTCCATCTCATCCTGGTTGGTTTGGAACAGGATTGGCAGTTCATAGATGATGATAATCCCCAAGTTTTGTTGCGTAGAGTAGTCCCTGAACTAATCATCAACGAACAGGAGGGTTGAACACTGCTCAAATGAGAAACAATGCGGGTTAGGGGTTACATAGTTACAGCAAAAAACGAGGAATTCATCGCATGAAGAACAGGAAGCAAGTCTTCATCAACTCAGGATATTGACAAACAAAAGGATTTCAGTACACAAAAGAACTGATGATTTCATGGGTACAATTAATGGATTCTCTCTCTCTCTATCTATATATATATATATGTCATATATATATATATGTAATATAATATACATGTACAAATCGGCAACAACAAGAATAAACATCAGCAAGATGTGAGTGAAATGACAAAGAATTCTTTGAATCTGGTGCAATTGTACTGCATAGAACAATAGCCACTGACGACCAAAGCTCTGAAGATCTTTAAACCAACCAAAGACATGGCAGAAGCAGCACAAGTAGTACTGTAGTACTATTTCAGCTTTCAGGCTGTGGTAGTCCACGTTTTTGCTGGCCCATGACCATATATCATCTATTACATCCAATGGATCAATGCTATATGATCTAAAATTTAAAAACATCACCAAAATTCACCAAATATCATGGCCATATTCTATGGCTATGGGTCCTTAAATTGGGTACCCGGGTACCCCTCGACATCTTTCTGGTCCCCTGAGTCTGAAAAAACATGATTTCCATCCCACCAAATGAGGAGCCGCGCCGCGCCGCTCGTTGGTTGATAGGCTTTCCAATCCGGCATATCAAAATCCCCAGTAAATGAGGTAGTAACAGGTACTATGAGTCCCTAGTTCGTAGTCTAGTTCATAATCAATCAACCAGGGTATACCCTCTGGTAATTTAACATAGCTATTGAAAATGACCATTTATAGTGGTTTTTCCCATAAACAATGGTGATTTTCCATAGCTATGTTAATTTACCAGAGGGTAACTTTAATGCCTCCAATCTCCAAGCAATACCTCCAGGGCCTCCCGCACCATTGCCAAAGGACCATTGCCGATCTCCGGATGAAAGGCCTCCAAGCCCGTCCTGGATTAGTTTCTGGAGACACCTTACACCGTATCATACGTTACATACATGTAATGTAATGTAATACAATGCAATGCAATGCAATGCAATGTATGTAATATGCTATGATATGGGTTTATATATAGAATATCTAAGACGTTCTAAGACTATATAAGAATGATCTGGATGATCATGGCTTTGAGATATCAAAGACATAGAACGCCGTTGGAAGATGATTGATGTTGTAAACCATCCATTGGGGGGGCAATTTTCATCATCCCAAATATATTTGGGGTATACCGGTATACCTGGTTTATGATTGGTATTGCTACATTATGATTGAACACACCATCTTTGTTGAGGCCAATCATGCCTTCGGCATCCTTCGGCTTCTTCTCCGAACCGATGTTACTTGGATGATTTGCAATCCCCAGACCCTGACAATGGTGAATCCCAAAAGGAAAATCGTCTTCCGAACCCATAAGTGGTAGCGTCTATGTTACTTGGAAGAAGCGGGCCTTCCTACCCCATAGGATCCATGTACGGTATATATATATATATAGATATGCTAACATAAAGGGGGTATATTGATGGTAAATGTTCCCATATATAGCATACATGCATCCTATGGGTACTGGATTACCGGATTTCACGGGAACGCTCTATGTTCAGAGCAACACCGGGGTTGTCTCAGGGACTTCATTACGTGTGGCCCCAAGCTTGGTATGGGGAAACCAATGGTCTTGGGATGTCTTGGGGTATCCCATTTTCTGAGGAACACCCATATTAATACACTGTGAATACACTGTGACTCTAAGCTTTCACAACTTCAAATTGCCACTCCTTGTCCATGAATTTGTTCCAAGTTCTGCTATAGGATTCTAGTTGCATGAGATCTCGAACAGATCTATGATCTGAAATCTTCAAGGATGGATTTGGTTGACCGAGCCACGTGTTGCATCTGTTCCACCCATCATCAGCCCAATAAATCATCCCAGCATCACTAGTGCTTCGGTGTCTGGAGAAAAGGCAATGCGTCGCAAAAGGAAACCTGGGATCAGGCCCACCATGGCCCACAACTCAGAACATGATCAGTACGGGAAACAGATCAGATCTTACGCTGCTAAAATAACAAAATGAAAACATGAACGGTTGAATTCATGTGAATTGATCCATCATCGTCATCATCATCATCATCATCATCATCATCATCACCAGCATCATCATCATCATCATCATCATCTTCATCATCATCATCACCACCATCATCATCATCATCGTCATCATCGTCATCATCGTCATCATCGTCATCATCATCATCATCATCATCGTCTTCATCATCATCATCATCATCATCATCATCATCATCATCATCATCACAATATATATATATATGCATATATAATGTAGACTCTAACTCACTTTAGTAGTAGTGTTCCACGATGTATGATTTCGATTGAATTCAGAGAACCGCCCAGTGAACTGCCCAAGCTACTGCCAGTCAAACACCACCTTTGCCAGACAAAGAAACAACCAAAATGGATGAAACAAAAAGTGTCGTACCAACACCACTGATGATTTTGAAATTCGAATGGAACAATGTTGATAGATATCTTGCATATTCTTGCATTATTGTTTGTTCAAACTTGCTTGTGGGCACAGCCCTCGGAAAACTGCAAAATCAACAAGTTGTTCAAGCAAACAATAACCATACCACCAGGATCTTCCATTCAAATTTCAGGATCTTCACTGATGTTGCTACGACACCTTTTGCTCCACATCTTTCAGCACCTTTGGCCAGAAACGATATGCGGGCTTCGTTGAACTTGCCTCCGCAGACAGTTCGCTAGTCTGAAGCCAGAAGAGATTATTGAACCTCAGCAGCGTGCAGGGCTATACCCTTGCCCTTCCTGGCTGGAACTTTCGGTGATAGAAATGTTGTCTATGGATCCAGATCTTTTTTCCCCATCAAATTGGACACTCAAACATATTCGAAGCAGCTAAAACACACGAAAAAACACATACCTCTTCATGATTTCATGATTTTCAATTGTTTCCAAGATTTGTGATCCCTCAAATGCCAAATCAACATGCCCAATAAAGCCCAGTAAAGCGCAGACCGGGGCGCAAGAGATTGATGTGTGCAGCGCTACGGTCATGGCGCGAAAATCTTTGGAAGGGATGCGCACCTCAGCTGATCCAGCTCCCCGCCTATTTTGCTTGGCTGAATTGAACAAATACTATCGACAGAGTGGTAACATAATGATCGCAGCAGCAGCAGCAGTAGCAGCAGCAGCAGCAGCAGTAGGAGTAGTAGTAGTAGTAGAAGTAGTAGTAGTAGTAGTAGTAGAAGTAGTAGTAGTAGTAGAAGTAGTAGTAGTAGTAGTAGAAGTAGTAGTAGTAGTCTTTATGTATGGTGATCTGTAGTGATTTGGATTAACTTGGTGGGTCAAATTCTAATCGTCCAATGTGTTCAATTACACGTTTCGCTGACATGCTTATTATGAATGAGCCATCCAATTTTCAGGTGGGGCTGGACCATCGCTGCTGCCTCAAACAATTTAGCATTTCAGATCATTTTCAGGAACCTTTGAAGAGGAAAATATTGTGCCAACCATCAAGATCATCAAATGAATGAGGTCACCGGGAGATAGGCATGGAATATCTGGCTTTCCAGAACTTGCCATGGCACATCTCCACACCATGCCCATAGCTAGCGGCCAAGTGAAGTTTTCAAAGACCACGTCCCTGTCAGTGCCGTTCCCTTCAATCCTTGGAAATTCTGTCCCCAGCCTGTGGCAGATTAGGTGGGACTTGCGATGCTTCATTTAAGTGACAAAGCCTTTGTGCGTCAACACGCTAGGGCAGAAACAATGTAATTACATACTGGTTGGTGGTTGACCTACCCCTCTGAAAAATATGAGTTCGTCAGTTGGGATCATTATTCCCCATATATGGAAAAATAAAAAGTGTTCCAAACATTTCCAAACCACAAACGAGTATTATCATACGATTATCAATGTGTGACAAGGATCTATGATCGTCTCGTGAGGTATTTTGCACCTCAAACCCAACACGCACGGGTTTTCACAAAGCCTCATATATCAACCGCGGTAGCAGGGCCAGCATACATCTACTCGAAACTCCTGTGATCCACCAGAAGTGCCTCCAGTGCCCACACTACCTTATTCACAATACTAGAGTGACCATATCCACGCTAAAGCACCGCGAGTCCGGAAGATTCTTGCCACCTAGGAGTGCCCATACTACCTGCAAGTGTCCATTTCACCCTGTCGGCCCTATCCCTTCGGATGACAAAAAATCTCTTTGAAACAACCAACTGGGTACGGATCAACTCGGATCCCAGAAACATGCATTGCTAATACTATAACTGCTTGGCGGTGCAATGACCATCTTGAAAAATATGAAAACCAATGGGAAGGATGACATCCCATTATCCATTATGGAAAAATAAAACATGTTTGAAACCACCAACCAGATAAATATGACGAAAAAACCTGTGGTTGCATGGGACTGAAATTTTGACGTATCCCCAACACAGGCACATACTCGCAGTACTTTCTGTCGAGCTTTTTGACAATGCTGACATGACCACTGACTTAATTCATCACCAGGCTTCCACGCGATCTCCATGTCTGAAAATGGAAGTTGTGCCTTCGAGTTGGGGTGTAACGTTGGCTCCCCTGGTCATATCACTTCATATCGCTTTGGGATGTCCTGAAATCCTGAACACACACAAACGTAGACCTCTTGGACTACAGTTTTGGAGAACAGTGGGAACCCTTTTAACGAATCGATAAACATGGACACTCTTATAAGCTGTCCATGATGTTTGAACCAATTGATGTTGGAGATTCAAAGCGCATTCTTGTGCCACGTGGCAGCCCCACTGAGATTACAAGAGAGTGCATCTAAATATTTCCATCCCAACCTCTGGAACTCATAGAAATCATTCTATAAAGATGTACCTAGAAAGCCGAACTATGCGGAATTTTAGGCATGGGCTGATTTTAGTCAGTGAAAAAACGTAATTTCATGACCAAAAATGTCATCACAGGTAAACATGTAATTTTGGTTTTATAATGTTGTGGTGAGCAGCCCGTGCTGATCCCACAAAGAGCTAGAAATGGAGTTTTTGAGCATTTTGCTTGGGCAACCAATTTCAATTGAACGAAAACCATGCATCAGGTGATCAATGTGGACTCTCACAAGTCTTTCTAGCCCTTATTACAAGCAAAATTTACTTGCATGAAATTTCCGCCATTTTTCCCCTGGTTTCCGCCATTTCGATGCAAATTTCCGCCATTGTTTTGGACAGGCTTTGGGGCCTAAAACCGATTTTTGCCAGCAACAAGAGTCCCAATGGGTCATTTATGGAGCTCAATCAGGTTCACACGTTACTTACGGTTTACCAGGTAATATGGGTGTGAGTGAAAATAGGGTATACCCCAAAATTTCATGGCGAATCATCATTTTCCCCAATGACTTGGGGCTTCAGAACCGCCTTATTTTCTCATAAAAAACTGGCCATGTTCGCCTGGAGTTGCTTGGGCTCAAAGAAGGCCGCAGAAGGCTTGGCTGGTTTGTTGGTGTAGAATCTCAAGAGGCCATGGCGACCACGTCCTTACCGGATGGCGGATGGCGCAGGACAGCAGGATGCTGAAAGGAAACCTTGGTTTTCACCATGGATTTTTCAGGGGATCTCTTAGTGGCAGTTCCACACCACCATTTCAGAGATATCTCTTTTTTGTGGTGAAGGACCTCGTTTCGTGAGAGGGAATCCCTGACAGATGTATTGTTTTGAATCAACCTGTTCAGCCATGGCGTGCCACTGTCAATCATAGACAGTCCTGTTGGAATAGGCATTTTGTAGTGAAACACACGCTGGACTGAGCTTCCAAGAATTGAAAGTCTGCAATTATGTGCAAATGTGTGTATATATATAATTAACACATATTACATAGAGAGAAAAAACATATAGCAAAGAAATAGCCAAGTAAGGTTACTTCGCGAGAAACAAACGCTAGGTCTAGGTCAACCCCGGTACACCCGGTACCCGGTCGCCCAACGAACATGGGCTACCGTGTCGTCTAGGAGTTCCTAGTCTTTTCGTGGGGTTTTCAGGCCAGCTATGTGGATTTTATATGGACACTTTTCCTGCCACAATGTCCTTAGTAATACTATCTGTGGATTGTTCTAATTAGTCTTTCGTAGTCTACCCTCTGGTAATCTAATATAGCTGCAGCTATAGACAATGGCGCACTTATAGGTGTTTGCTTATAATTATATACCGTATTAAAGTACGCAATTTTCCATAGCTATGTTAAATTACCAAAGGTACATCTTAGTTACTGTGGATAGCATGTGCTGGATCTGACTACACTTGGATCTGGCTAAACTTTCATCCTTTTTCGATCATCATGCGATTTGGAGGTGCTCCCCCCAACCCCAAACCATCCTCTCCGAACATTCCTCCCAAATCCAAGGGTTTATCATCATGTCCCCCCTGTTTTCCTGTAATCTCTCAATGAAAACAGCCCTGTTGGAGCCTCATAAACCTCCACTATAACCAACCTGTGGATGTCGGGGTTAACCCCAACATAGTGAGAAATGACGACTTAAAGTGGTACCATCCTTAATCCTTAGCAAAACCTGGGGGTTAACATTCATCCTGGGATACTGTAATATGGGGGGGTCCTAAAATAGAGGTACCACCAATTCATCCAGCTTAATAGGATGTTCCACTATAAATACTATAAACCAACCGTTTTGGAGTACCCCCATGGACGGAAACCTCCATATGGGCAAACTTCCACACTCTGATCGCCCAGCTTCTTTGCCCACGTGATTTCCAACGCAACCAGGCGACAGGTGGATCATCCTTGCAACAGAAGCGGAAGATCTTCGAAAGAGGAGACCGAAGGGCGCATACTGATGGATTATATAGAATCTTAACCTAAACCATCCAAGTACCTAGAACAATGGGGTAATATTAATTACGCATTACTTTGGGACTTTCACATACTTTTACGCTATGTATATAATATATTGTATAATACTATATATATCATGGGCACTTGGAGGGCCTTTGTAGAAAGAATCTGAATTTATGACTTTGATTCTATGATTCTGCTCTTTGCCCCACAAAATACACACATATCTTCAAGAACAATTACTTCTTCTTGAGAAAAGATAAGCCATGTGCAAGAGAAATGCAAACAGTACCATGTCATGCCATGTCTGTGCCTCCATCATGGTTGAACTCATGACATCGGGCGAAACTTATGGGCAAAAAACTCGTTTGAACATGTTTAAAGAGATCAAAACATACCATATTTGGGTGAAACCTCCAATCCCAGCTATTTTGCTGTGAAAATCAAGGGGTTTTGACCCATAGCCTTATCATTCCAAACATTTCCAGCGTATTCGATGGTACTTGGGGATCAAACCCGTTCCGGATCTTTCCGACCAGCTTCCCCCAACTCTGCAGCTACAGCATTGCTCCAGCTGTTGCCAATAAAGAAACGATGGATGTTGCTGAACACGACCTGGCGTTAGGATGGTCAGCGTGAAACGGACTTTTTTCGGCTGGAGGTCTGTGGTGATCTTTGGTGAAGGTCTAGATCTGCGAATTGTGGGGGAAGACACTAGAAATCTCTACTGTATGAGATATGTGGCAAACTTGTGTGTCACAGAATTGGATGATTTAATGCAAACTGATGGCCAGTAGAGGTCGCTGGGGCTTCTTCCTGCCATGAAGGATGCTGATTGTGAAGCCAAGAAAAGTGACCCTACAAACAAACATTTTAATATAAGGTAAACCAATAGACTATCCCCAAAATCAATGGCTGGTCTAAACCCTCCCCAAATGGTAGGTTTATTATTGGGTTGCCAACATGAATATATAACTGAAATTGCCCAGCAAGTCTCAAGTTTCTACACATGCCGCATCTACCTGAAGTGTGGTAAATTCTCAGCACGTTTGCAGTCAACATGCCCGAATGTTGCAACCAAACAGCACCAATTGATGAATCATGATGAATCCACAGCCGTCAAGCTGAAAGTACATGAAAGTACTAAGCTTTTCAAGACCTCCAGAAGAACATGGCTATGGATCAAAATTGAGCAAAATTATCTACTCAAATATCGAAAGATGTCCCAACACAATCCAAACTTGTGGGCCCCAATGTGCATCGATGATTTTTAAAATCATGAGAACACATACTCTCTGGATTATATATGCCCCTTATGTTTGATGCTTAAGACCCCTTAATTTTCCATAACAACGAAACAACCAACAACAGAAACATGCAGTATGTATATATATATAACAACCCATTAAAAATCATCATCATCACCCTTCATTAGTTTAACATGACAGTGGGAAATCCAAACTTTTAAGGGGAACATAAATAATCATATCATATATATATATTATATTATATTGTATTATATTATATTATAATATTGTGTAATATTAAATAAAATCATCAAAAAGTAAAGGTGAAACATCCATCATGTCAGGTTCTAGATCCGTCTAGATCCCATAAATAGCACATTTAGAATTCCATCAAACCACCATTTTGTTGGCTTTATTTTGCTGGAGAATAACTACCAATTTCTCCTAATCCGATTCCGATCAATCGTGAGGTCGCTTCGGTCGTCAAGGTTTCTACCAGTTGTGGAATGATAACCCCAGTTCTACATCATTTATATACTCATCCCCAAGAATATAGAAAAGCAAAGTCTTCTTCAATTGTTCATCGTTGACTTTTTCCTGTCCTTTTTTGGGGTTACTATATAGGCTGGTGGGTTTAACCATCTTGAAAACTATGACTTAACTTCGTCAAAGGGAAGGATGACATCCCATATATGATGGAAAATAAAATTGATGTTTGAAACCACCAACCAGTATATATATATATATAATTATATATATATAGTATAGAATTGCTATTGTCAACATACATGGAGGTTTCCTAAGTCATGGGAAATATAGGCTGGGCAGAAACTGGACCTGAAAATCCTTAACGACTCGACTGAGACCACCTGGCTCATCCGCTGCCGCAGTCGTGGGAAATCCGCGACCCGCAAAATCCTGTCGCAGGCAGAGACGCGAGACGCACCAGCTGCAGGAGTGCCATGGTCCGAAAAAACGCGAATGATGTGAGATTTGTATGGGATTTATATCTAATATATATACATACATAATATATATATATATATATATATATATTATATATATATACCTTGACCCACCAAAACCATGAAAACGGAAGGTTTTTTTTTACAACCAAGATTTTTTAGGTTTGTTATTTGAAAACCCGGTTTCCAACATCTCATGGGTATATCATGGTATATCCACCTCTTACTATCCTACCATATCCCATCTTTTCTGTCGCCGCTGCTTGGATCTACATCCTGAAAGTGCACCTGGTAGCTGCAACAGTTTCTTGATCTGAAGCTGGGACTGGCGGTCAGGGTTGCCACTATGAGAGCATATAAGAGCTAGGCCAAGTTTAGTAGTTTGATGAAAATTGAGATCAAGAATCATCAGCAATGCCTTCCGATAGTGCATTGCGCACTGCCAAAAAAGATCTCTGAATTACCCTAAGGGCCGTTGTTCTGCTAGAGACTCGTCTAGCTAATCGGCTGGGCCTACCAATGTAGTCCTCTTCTAATTGAACCCCTGTCATGATGATGTTGAGACACCATTCAGCTCTTCGAGAATCAAGCACTAGCTCCAGGAACTGGTGATGAAGATAGTGCAGTTTTGGAACTAGTGGGAACCTCTTCAAACGCCGATCAAAAGCCATTTGGGCAAGTTCAGCATAAAGCTGAAGAAACAACAAACCTTGCTTGCCGATGCGTTCAGCGTCAGCAGATCTGATGAAGAGACCCTCTCTGTAGAGATTCCCCAGGCAAAGGTTGATCGTCACTGCAGCTTCAGCCTGCAGTGGCTGCAATGGAATGATGAATGCATCAACTGCAAAAAACACGAGTTGGTAAGACCATGCAACAACCCCCAAAACATGACCATAAAACAAATTATTAAAACAATAACTGGTTTCGAAACAAAAACAAATTTAACGAAAGTCCAAGAAACACACTTGAGGTAAAAATTGTCCACTGTTTTCCCAACAACTTTTCTGGAAGCATAGTTGTCGAACCATTGGCACATGACACGTGTGAAATCACCTTTGGTCCACCCACCATCAGGACAATCTTTGAAGGAATGTTCTATTCCGAGTAATGCTTTCGTGATCTTTTTGTGGTATGGGCTTTCTTTCTCTCTTTTGCAGTACTCCAGGAAATCACTTGAAATGATGCGAAGCGACTCATCTATCGAAGCATCAATCAGCTCCAAACACACCACCACTACAGATGAAGCAAAATACTTGCCAACGCCTGAATGAAAGCTGTGAAATAGGTCAAACTTCCACATACCAGTTTGATCACCAGAACGCTCATATGGTATGTTCAGCAAAGGGCTGGGTGCGCTGTAGGGTGGCGTTACGCCAATTGTACCTCTCCACATAGGTGTTTCCACCCCCAATTCCTCATAGGGTACATCAATGTGAACCCCATTGACCTGATAGTTTTCCTTACCAGCAAGACATCGATGGCAAATTCCAACAGCAGCTGTCCTGGAAGTTGGGGCACGCGGCCGCCTGGTAAATGACCTATCGAACAAGCCACTCTTTTGAACAAAAGGACTGTCACCTTTGATCCCCACACATGCAATGAAAAAACGCTGATTCTGGATAACAATGCCATCCCAAAACAGTTTTGCAAATTCATCGGCTTGTAGCTGAAGCATATGCTCGAAGGCTTCAGGTGCCTCCCCATACAAACTGATAGGCATCACACACTGCAAAAAGTGATTGCAGAATGTATTGCCAAGCATGTTGGCACGTAAGGGTCCATCAGGGTTTTCCAGTTCAGCTTGTGTTTTTCCCAAATTCGAGTGTGAATTGCCCTTGCCGAGGCAGCCGTGAGTAGACAGCACCATAAGTTGTTTCTTTTTCAATCCTCTTCCTTCATCTCCATGGTAGAGTACTGGGATACACATGCTTCTGTGGAAGTCTCGATCACCTTCAGCACGATCGCATATGACATGGTGTGGGTACAGGGCTTCAAACCGTTTCCAAAAGGTAGTGAGCACTGGGCGCATTTTCTCAACGTCACCAGTACCAACTAAGCAGTCAAGGTTGTCATACTCCACAATGTAACGCAGCCAACTTGAAAACTTCACATAGGGAAAGCTCATTTTGGTTGGCAAATCAGTTGTTGATATCTTCACATGAATCGACTGACCAAACTTCTTGAAGACAGTGTGGGTACCACTTTCGCTTCTTTTCAAATTCACCCGTTTCAGCATCTTCAAACCCCTCGACTGCACTCGCGTAACACGAGCCTGGCGAATGGCATCGCTACATGCGACCTCAGTCACAAGCATACAACATGTGCACATGTTGGAAAACCCAGTGGGAAGGGATAACAAATTGGATAGCATATGGGATAATCCATGCATGTAGATTGTAATTGACAGTGGGTTGAGAAATCTAGCTGGCTACAAAACTCTACAATCCTACATGTTCGGAGAAACGTTTGGAAAATACAAACCTGATCCCAACCCCATGCATGCATGCATGCATATGAAACTCAAAACTACTTGGCAACACTTCCCCATTTTTTTCTCATTTTGCTCTCAATTGGTGCCTGCACATTCCTCTTGAAGTTGCATTTGAAATTATGATAGCAAAGCGCTTTCAACGAATTGGTTTGAGGCTGTCCGCCCTGGCCCCAACAACATACACAAAATGAAATGGTTCTGAAATAGAACCAGGCGGTCCTTCACCACCATATCTCTGGTTCCTACAACCTTTCTCTGAAAGATTGTCAGAGATTAAAGCTGCCTCAAGCATTTGAATTAATCCCAAATTGGTGGAAACATGGAGTACCGACATATGAGTATAGTTGCACTCCTGGTAGTACTTGAACCTTAAAGTTGGTTTCGCAGTCATGCCCAGCTTGTAAACACACAACTGCTTACCAATCCCGTTTCGGAACTTGGTGACCAAAGAACGACACCTTTGCAGAATTGTTCCTGCACTGGCATGTTGTCTGCCACGAAAGTGCTGATAGCTAATGCATATCCCATTCTGTTGGCAATCACGCTCTAGCTCTTCCAATTTATGGCATTGATCAGGACCATTGGACTCTGGGGGGATATCTGGAACACAACCGTGATCACATGGTCGTTGAAGTTCCACCTCATTAGTGCACATGATCAACATAAAATAAATTTAGGTTTCGGGTACAACATAGATGGTGGCAAAGGAAAACTGTTGGGATTCAAATGTTTCATGGGAACAGTTACTAAACATGTCATGTATCCGCTGTACTGGCGCAGGATGCCAAAGCCGGAGATGTAGAAACAAATGAGACACTGCAGCCGTTGTCAGATAGGTGACCAGTCCTCAAGTATGTTGTTGTCCATGCATTCATGCATGAAGATTGTTTTTCTTAAGCAAAATCCACAAACCACCCAAATTGCACTTATGGGAAAAATACATCAAACAAAAACATATCACCACTGAAGCAAGATATGAAACTTGATGTTTTCCTTGTACAACGGAGGGCAGCGCTTGTTGCCACTATATGGACATGTATAAGTGAGCAGGTCTCGTAGTTCCTCTTCAAACGGGCAAGCTCTTTTTGCGCCCATGGCTACATTAGGATTGGGATTCCTACATAACTCAATCTTGGGCCCTTGTCTCCAAAATGGCTTTGCGGAAGTTAGTATAGGTTGGGTTGAATGTTGGCCAACTTCCAAAGGGTTGTCTTCCTTGAGCTGGGGCCCCAAACACCATTGCCAACCATGCGAGCGAAGCCGTGGAGTTCAGGTTCTGGCCCTGGCATGGCGGTTGGTCATGGTGAAATGGCCAAGGCAGGATGGGGTCGACTAGCTGGTAAAAGGGTAAAAGATGTGGAGTTGGATTGTTACAGCATCCTTCAATTGATACATGATTACATTGTCATAGTGTTTCATAATCATTGTTTCCATATGTTCCGGTTCATGAATCACACCAGCTGCATCCATACACTATCATTTTTCCCTTACATCGCAAGCAGCTTGCCAAAGGTTGCATCCTTCAACTCATGTTGATTTGCAGCACTTGGAGTCGATCTAGCCAAGTGGTCGAAAGCAGAACCTAATCAAAACCCGGCCAAACATGCTGTTGGCCAAACATGTGGAAATTCAACACATGTTTCTATAGTCCCAATTGACTTGTGAAACACCTATCACTCTTCCATGTCCGCAGCAGCTTCTGCATCCTTCTTCTTCTTCCTCAAGCTTTTCTCAAGCGCCCTAAGTTGGACAAAGTCAAGCATGAACAGTATATATATATGATATATGCATGCATGAATATAGATGGATCCTGATCCAACATATGCAAATTTAATATATTCATGTATGCATGCATGTATGCATGTTAGAAGTGATCCCTTGAAACAGTTCACTGTACCAGCCTCTTAATAGTTGCAAGTAAGTTTTTTGGGTTACAGCACCGCAACCTTTGCAGGCGAGATTCTTCGCCTGAACTTCGATCGATGTCAGCGCAGAAGCCCTTAGATCAGCAACATGGGTGCCACTGGTCTTGGGAATCCGTTTTAATTCAGGCCAGGCAATCAAGATGGGGAAAATAATATTGAGTGATAGTTTCAACCATTCAACACTCCATTACCTTAAATAATAAATTAGCAAATTGGTGACGTGGACTAAACAAGATTCGGGTGATTGAAATTGTTATATAATCTTGCAGTTGGAAATGGTGGATTCGAGCACTTGCAAATTGAAGGCTAGAGGCTTTTCCATGGCAGCAAACATCTTGGCCTTCACATCCCCAGCGGTCCTGAGTAAGTTGAAGTGAAGAAGTACATGTTGTATGTCAAAGTTCAAGAGCCCATGTATGCTTTATCTATCTTTATCTTGGGGTCGAAGTATGAGTCTGATCCGTATTATAAGTCTATCATAGGGTAATCCTGCAATATGAAATGCTTACGGGGCTCTCTGCATTGCGGTGTTCAAGAGCTGGTGCACTGCTGCACGCCGAGGCAAAGGAATCATAGGCAACTTGCGCAGCTGCAAGCTTGGTCTCCAAGGCGTGAATGGACCTGGGATTGGCTTAGGATATGAGCTGTTGACTTGTACAATCAGACCCAATTTACAGTAACATAAGCTAGTTTTGATCAAGTAAGTCTAGCACTTTTCAACACGAGCTTTGTCAGACCCTTCAGCAAATCCATCCAGCTTGGAAATGAGGTCCGTAATCTTCGACATTTTGGAAAGCATCCCTTCCTTGAATTTCTCCTCCACTTCAACATGCTTAGTAAACATGAATTGCAACCCAAGAGGAGGTATGATTCAATTGAACCTTCTAATAGGAAAGGGTTTCAGTACATCAACACCAGATGTTGAAATGTTATGTTATTTTCTCAGAGTTTCTCCCTCAACGGGGGTCTGGGCGTGGCCTCCCTCACCTTCCACAGATGGTAGAGTGGGCTGGAACCAATCTTCTTGTAGCTCAACTTCAGCATTTGCCTCCAATGCGTGTGGATGAAATTGTTGACATCCCAAATGATCCCAGATTTAAAAAGATTGCATTTATGCATGCAATTGACTATAGGGGTCATGACTGGTGAACTGAGATAGATGTCATGCAATTTTGTTAGTCATATCAGAACTATATTATATTATATTGCATATTATATATATATTTAATATATTTCCCAGGCCTCACCAGTGGAAGTATGTGTGTGGGCTTCCAGACGGGTCTTCTTCGTTGCTTCCTTGTCCGAATACTCCACAAAGTAGCGGTACACCTTCTTGCTGTAGAGGTCATTCCTGCTGCAGATATGCATGGCAGCCGTGACAAGGTGTGGCAACCAGGTGATGCATAAGTGGCTTTAAAGGGCACCAGTTCGGTATAGTTACCCATATTGAGATACATGGTGTATCAATTACATGGCCAATCTTAATTAAAATTGGTATCACATTGGTTCGATGATTATATATATATAATGTGCATGCATATATATATATATAATATATATATATGGATCGATCTATTCAACATGACTGCATGGTGGATCCCCGCCACCATTTGCACCAAGATTCTTCACAAGCCCGTGCTGCTTGCAGTAAGCTACAGCGTCCTTGATGTAGCTCCTGAAGTTTGGTATGTTGAAAATGCATGCATTCAATATATCGATCTGTTGGATAACATTCTCCAAGGAACTTGTATGGAAACTAGATTGGTTGAATTCCGAGCTAGATTTTGCAGTCTACAATGGCTTGCACTAGCGTGACCAACAGACCCTGCATGGGAACAACTGTTCACTCTAAACCCGGCTGATGCTGGAGTGCAGGTGGCCCATGAGACAAGACCACGGAATATAGCAACCAGAATATGAACCCTCTGGAATTGGCTAACCAACACTGCTGAGAACAACTATGAACTTCTCAGGAATCAGCTCAAGGAAACTCGAGACATCATCAAGAAGAGCTTTGCATATGCCAAAATCAACTCTTGCATGGTGTTGCAAGGGACCCCAAATGAAGTTTACATCAATCTTCCCTACGAGTAAGGTGGCAACTGGTGGCACATCTACAACATGATTAGAGCATTGAGGGTATTTGTTTAATTCCTTAATTAATATATATATATATATGTGATATATATAAGCCCATGTAAATTAAGTTGTGGTTTCCCCAGATCCTGTAATCCTGTAATGCAGGAAAGGTTCGTTGTCCACTTCAACTCAGTCTTCATTTGTTCAGGAGTGAACCACCCTTTGAGGACTTCTTGGGTATCCTCCTTGCGCAGCTCAATCATCTTCGTCACCTTGTGGATGAAGACTTCCTGCAAATAGTCATAGGGAGCAATGCAATCAAGAATCTAATCAAGATCGAGTTATATATAATATATATATATAGGTTGGGTCTTGCTACAGTGTTACCATCCACTGAAAAAAGGGCAGAGTAGCGAAATTCCACCACAAAAGAAATGATTAACACACCCTTAGAATTATTGCATGTGATATCGAATCATGCATCAAGGGCTCGATAGATGCATGCATGGGTTCTAACGGGTCCTTGTCAAACTCAAACTGCTCAAGGAGCATCCTCAATTCGTCCCTCTGCTTCCCCCCAGCCATCCACTGCTCGTGGATGGCTGGGGGTACTTTGAGTTTCCCCGACCCCTTCCTCTCGCACAGACGTCTCAAACGTGCGTCCACCATCTTGTACCTTTGCAGGGCACTCTTGTGCCCTTCATCGTCGTCTTCTTCGACTTCGGCAGCTGGAGGCGCTGCAGCAGCCTGTTGATGAACGGTGAAAGCAAGATTGGGCAAAAACACCCCAACGGATTCTTAACCATTTCAAATGAACCC